TGATAGTGATGAAGGATGTAGCTCTGGGATGGAGGCTGTATGATAGTGATGAAGGATGTAGCTCTGGGATGGAGGCTGTATGATAGTGATGAAGGATGTAGCTCTGGGATGGAGGCTGTATGATAGTGATGAAGGATGTAGCTCTGGGATGGGCGGTATGATAGTGATGAAGGATGTAGCTCTGGGATGGAGGCTGTATGATAGTGATGAAGGATGTAGCTCTGGGATGGAGGCTGTATGATAGTGATGAAGGATGTAGCTCTGGGATGTAGGCTGTATGATAGTGATGAAGGATGTAGCTCTGGGATGAAGGATGTAGCTCTGGGATGGAGGCTGTATGATAGTGATGAAGGATGTAGCTCTGGGATGGGCGGTATGATAGTGATGAAGGATGTAGCTCTGGGATGGAGGCTGTATGATAGTGATGAAGGATGTAGCTCTGGGATGGAGGCTGTATGATAGTGATGAAGGATGTAGCTCTGGGATGGAGGCTGTATGATAGTGATGAAGGCTGATATTGAAGAAGAAAAATGCTTAGACGCAAATTCATTGAATTAAGTATTGGTAAACTGGTGTTGACATTCACAACATTTTTACAACAACCTGACACCTTGTTCATTCATGCACTCTGCAATAAAAAATAAAAAATAGAATTCGGTCAAGGTTGGTCATCTGTCTTAACTAGTGTGGATTTATTTTAAAGAGTGGGGCAGTCCCCCACTGAAATAGCAGTAGGCTGGATTCAAACCCATGCAGCAGCTTTATACTGTATATGCACCGGAGGCAGCAGCTTTATACTGTATATTTACCGGAGGCAGCAGCTTTATACTGTATATTTACCGGAGGCAGCAGCTTTATACTGTATATGCACCGGAGGCAGCAGCTTTATACTGTATATGCACCGGAGGCAGCAACTTTATACTGTATATTTACCGGAGGCAGCAGCTTTATATGTATATGTTACGGAGGAGCAGCTTTATACTGTATATTTACCGGAGCAGCAGCTTTATAATGTATATTTACCGAGGTAAGCAGCTTTTACGGTATATACCGAGGCAGCAGCTTTATACTGTATACTTACCGGAGCGGCAGCAGCTTTATACTGTCTTAATTTACCGGAGCAGCAGCGTTTATAACTGTATACTTTTACCGGAGGGCAGCAGCTTTATTACTGTGATACTTACCGGAGGAAGCAGCTTTTAATACTTACCGGAGGCAGCAGCTTTTATACTTATATTTACCGGAGGCAGCAGCTTTTATACTGTATATTTACCGGAGGCAGCAGCTTTATACTGTATTTACCGGAGGGCAGCAGCTTTATACTGTATATTTACCGGAGGCAGCAGCTTTTTAACTGTATATTTTACCGGAGGCAGCAGCTTTATACTGTATATTTACCGGAGGCAGCAGCTTTATACTGTATATTTACCGGCGGCAGCAGCTTTATACTGTATATTTACCAGGGCAGCAGCTTTATATATGTATATTTACCGGAGGCAGCAGCTTTATACTGTATATTTACCGGAGGCAGCAGCTTTATACTGTATATTTACCGGAGGCAGCAGCTTTATACTGTATATTTACCGGCGGGCAGCAGCTTTATACTGTATATTTACCGGAGGCAGCAGCTTTATACTGTATATTTACCGGAGGCAGCAGCTTTATACTGTATATTTACCGGAGGCAGCAGCTTTATACTGTATATTTACCGGAGGCAGCAGCTTTATACTGTATATTTACCGGAGGCAGCAGCTTTATACTGTATATTTACCGGAGGCAGCAGCTTTATACTGTATATTTACCGGAGGCAGCAGCTTTATACTGTATATTACCGGAGGCAGCAGCTTTATACTGTATATTTACCGGAGGCAGCAGCTTTATACTGTATATTTACGAGAGCAGCTTATACGTAATTACCGAGGCAGCAGCTTTATACTGTATATTTACCGAGGCAGCAGCTTTATACTGTATATTTACCGGAGGCAGCAGCTTTATACTGTATATTTACCGGAGGCAGCAGCTTTATACTGTATATTACCGGAGGCAGCAGCTTTATACTGTATATTTACCGGAGGCAGCAGCTTTATACTGTATATTTACCGGAGGCAGCAGCTTTATACTGTATATTTACCGGAGGCGCAGCTTTATACTGTATATTTACCGGAGGCAGCAGCTTTATACTGTATATTTACCGGAGGCACGAGCAGCGTTTATACTGTATATTTACCGGAGGCAGCAGCTTTATACTGTATATTTACCGGAGGCAGCAGCTTTATACTGTATATTTACCGGAGGCAGCAGCTTTATACTGTATATTACCGGAGGCAGCAGCTTTATACTGTATATTTACCGGAGGCAGCAGCTTTATACTGTATATTTACCGGAGGCAGCAGCTTTATACTGTATATTTACCGGAGGCAGCAGCTTTATACTGTATATTTACCGGAGGCAGCAGCTTTATACTGTATATTTACCGAGGAGAACCAGCAGCTTTATACTGTATATTTACCGGAGGCGCAGCTTTATACTGTATATTTACCGGAGGCAGCAGCTTTATACTGTATATTTACCGGAGGCAGCAGCTTTATACTGTATATTTACCGGAGGCAGCAGCTTTATACTGTATATTTACCGGAGGCAGCAGCTTTATACTGTATATTTACCGGAGGCAGCAGCTTTATACTGTATATTTACCGGAGGCAGCAGCTTTATACTGTATATTTACCAGGAGGCAGCAGCTTTATACTGTATATTTACCGGAGGCAGCAGCTTTATACTGTATATTTACCGGAGGCAGCAGCTTTATACTGTATATTTACCGGAGGCAGCAGCTTTATACTGTATATTTACCGGAGGCAGCAGCTTTATACTGTATATTTACCGAGGCAGCAGCTTTATACTGTATATTACCGGAGGCAGCAGCTTTATACTGTATATTTACCGGAGGCAGCAGCTTTATACTGTATATTTACGCGGAGGCAGCAGCTTTATATACTGTATATTTACCGGAGGCAGCAGCTTTATACTGTATATTTACCGGAGGCGGCAGCTTTATACTGTATATTTACCGGAGGCAGCAGCTTTATACTGTATATTTACCAGAGGCAGCAGCTTTATACTGTATATTTACCGGAGGCAGCAGCTTTATACTGTATATTTACCGGAGGCAGCAAGTTTCCAGCAGCTTTATACTGTATATTTACCGGAGGCAGCAGCTTATTATTACTGGTATATTACCGGGAGGCGCAGCTTTATACTGTATATTTACGGCAGAGAGGCAGCAGCTTTATACTGTATATTTACCGGAGGCAGCAGCTTTATACTGTATATTTACCGGAGGCAGCAGCTTTATACTGTATATTTACCGGAGGCAGCAGCTTTATACTGTATATTTACCGGAGGCAGCAGCTTTATACTGTATATTTACCGGAGGCAGCAGCTTTATACTGTAATTATTTACCGAGGCAGCAGCTTTATACTGTATATTTACCGGAGGCAGCAGCTTTATACTGTATATTTACCGGAGGCGCAGCTTTTATACTGTATATTTAACCGGAGGCAGCAGCTTTATACTGTATATTTACCGGAGGCAGCAGCTTTATACTGTATATTTACCGGAGGCAGCAGCTTTATACTGTTAATTACTCCGAGGCAGCAGCTTTATACTGTATATTTACCGGAGGCAGCAGCTTTATACTGTACGGAGGCAGCAGCTTTATACTGTTATTTAAACGGAGGCAGCAGCTTTCTACTGTATATTTACCGGAGGCGGCAGCTTGATACTGTAATTTACTGGGACGGGCGGCAGCTTTATATTGTATATTTACCGGAGGCAGCAGCTTTATACTGTATATTTACCGGAGGCAGTAGCTTTATACTGTATATTTACCGGAGGCAGCAGCTTTTAGCCCGCAAGACATTCCTAGGTCACTAGTGTGCAGGTTTTACACATATTTTGGATTTACAAATGTTCCCTTGTGTTCTTTCCACAGAGGAGTGACCATGCTGCTGTACCAAGGTCCTGGGAATACCGAGACTGGGAATACCACTGCCCCTCTCTAGCTGGATCATTTGATGACAACTCCCACCAGATTTCCTGACGGATGATATAATCCAATTCATCCCTCCATATTTTGGATATTCTGATCGAAGCAATAGTGGCACTGGCAAATGTCAAAATGGTTCCCGCCTTCTATACACTTGTGTATTTTTTCTGTTTACGCACTTTACACATAACAGGGACTTTCAAAACCGGAATGTTGTCTTATTAAATTGTTCAAATGTTTTTGTCATTGGAAACTCATCTGGAGATAAACATCTCTGACCCGAGGTGGGCATGCACTACGTTAGGGTAGGGACCAGTCATACAGCATTGTTGAAGATCTAAAGCTGTAACCTCAATCCTATGCCCTCAAATGCTAACTTAGCCCCATACATTGTTGCGAAAGTAAAACCATACTTAGCATGCATGCTCAACTGTGAATACGAACTCTATTATTCAGGGTGTTCAGGATCAGCCATGAACATATATCAGAGCATGATCGTTATCTGTGCAACGTAGGTGTCAATATTTGCAAAGTAATACCGTACGTGAATGTATTTTTACTGTGAAAAGGTGTACAAAAGTATGTGCCATCATTTCAGTGTCTTAAATCATGATTTAGATTCCACTTCTTGTGAGCGTTAACGTGGACAATACCAATTAATAACATTCACTGTATCTTCATACAAATCCTGGGACAAAACTTTCCCGGAGAGACCGCAGCTGACTTTACCAGAGACCGCAGCTGACTTTACCAGAGACTGCAGCTGACTTTACCAGAGAGACCGCAGCTGACTTTACCAGAGACCGCAGCTGACTTTACCGGAGAGACCGCAGCTGCTGTTGAAACAGTGCATGGTGTCTCAGTGCAGGTTGTCTCTGGAACATAGCACTGCTGCATTAGTGCCTGCATTCCTGGCTAGCTGGGCATTCCTCCCTCCCCCTTCTCTCTCTCAGAATGAGCCAGAAGTTGGAGAAGTTGGCCTTGGAGACAGACCAGCGCTGCCAGCCTCTGGTCTACACCGTGGAGGAGCTGGAGTGCAAGATTTGCTACAACCGTTACGACACGCGCACCCGCAAGCCCAAGGTGCTGGGCTGCCTCCACCGCGTCTGCGCCAAATGCCTGAAGAAGATCGTGGAGAACTCGTCCCCCAGCATCGTCAGCTGCCCCTTCTGCCGCCACGAGACGCACGTGTCCGACGATGATATCTGGTTGCTGCAGGACGACAGCAACATCCTGGCAATCCTCACCTACCAGGACCGCGCCAGGAAGAGTGGCGGTTCCATCACCCCGAACGGGGAGGTGCTGCTCACCCCGGGCAGCCTGAGCGGGAGCGGAGGTGGAGGGGGTGGCTGTGGTGGTTCTGGGGGCGGCTGCGTCACAACCAGTGAGCAGTCGCACAGCTCCTCAGACTGCCTGGTCATCACCATCATGGAGGTGCCGGGCGAGTCACAGTCGTCAGACTCCATGAGCATGCTCAATATGGTGCACCTGTACCGGCCCGCCAGCCTGGCCTCGCTGCCCTGCCACCTGCCCGCGCAGAAGTGTGGCGCGTGGACCTCGCGCACCTTCCCCAGCTTCCTCATTGGCGTCCTGTGTCTGGTCTACTTCTCATCGCTTCCGCTGGGCATCTACCTGCTGATGATCCAGCAGCTCACCCTGGGCATCATCCTGGTCAGCCTGGTGCCCTCCACCCTGGTTCTGTGTGTCTTCTACGGCTTCTGTCAATGCCTGTGCCATGAGATCATGCAGTCCATAGCCACATAGCCAAGCCCCCAATTTACTCCCATCCCCCATCCCGCTCCCTAATGCCGATGTATTTCTATCAGTGGATGTGACATAGCGAGACCTGTAAAAGACAAAGACAAATCACCAATGCAAATCTATAGCCCCTGTCCTTTGTAAAATACACCCCCACCCACCCCTTCCTTTCCTACTTCAGATAATACCAGCACTAAAACGTCCAAGTGACCACTTGGATTTGGATGTAGGGCTTGACTATTCAAGACAAGCCAACCTGTGCAAGGCCCACGGCCTGATGAATGGTTTTCTAATTACACAGCTCAACCTGCGTCGGATTGCTGCCGTTTTGTTTGTGTTCATGCAGCTCACCGGAATGGGCTTCAGTTATTACTGTGACCATCACCAAACTGTATTGTTAAAAAAGAATATGATCCTCTCAGTGTTAACCGTACTGTGGTAGAATACCCATCTGCTCGACCTATGGGCAACGGACTATGAAAACCCATCGTTTTAAGGATGTATTCGGACACACAGCATAGTCACCATGTATACTGTTGAAGTTCCTAGTTGCCTTTTAAAGGCATGTCTGTTTGTGCCCCTGCAGTAACTTAACGTTGTAAAACCTGTCTGTGTCATTGCATTGGGAAATGGACAAACCACCTAAACTGTTACTAGATATTTCAATAAAAGACTCAAGACACTTTTGTGATCTTTTCCATTCTTTTTTCCATTCCTCCCATAACCCACATTTCCTGGGCAACTGATTCCAATTTGCACTATTAATAGGCTTACAATCACATTCCTTATACTTAAAAATTAAGATGGAATAAGTCATGTAAAACACAAAACATGCAAGTTATCACATGGAACACAACACATAGTTACACAGGAAGCTTCATTAACACTACCCTCGAGACTGGAGAAATCAATGTATTATCCCCAGTACACGTACAGTAGCTGTTTATGCTGAAGAATTACCCCCAGTGAAAAGTGTACCATTTGGTGATGTGTGAATCAATCGGTTCCAGCCCCACAGACCCATTCTGCTAAAGTGCTGACGTTTTGCTAACTCGAGCTAATTTTAGTGCTGTTGCTCTGGAGACCTGGCACAGGGGAGCACCCCCATGGCATCGAAGGACCTCAGCTCCTCAAAGCTTCTAGTTAGTTATTACAGGAGAGCAACTCGAAGGAATATCTGTCTGGCACAGTCAAATGCTGCTAATTATAAGAAACCTTACCTAGCACTAGAACTTAGAAATAGCATTAATCAACCACTATATGAATATGTTAGAACCACACAATTTGTGCAGAACCTGTGGTCTGTTGGTAACACTCCCAGGCTTGTAGATCTACTAGCTACTAGGTCTCTCTTTACGTAGTGTTGTGGTGTCTCTCTTGTCGTGATGTGCGTTTTGTCCTATATTTTTATTTTTTATCCCAGCCCCCACGTCCCCGCAGGAGGCCTTTTGGTAGGCCGTCATTGTAAATAAGAATTTGTTCTTAACTGACTTGCCTAGTTAAATAAAGGTTAAATGTAGCTCAGTTGGTAGAGCGTGGCGCTTGCAACGCCAGGGTTGTGGGTTCGTTTCCCACGGGGGGCCAGTATGAAAATGTATGCACTCACTAACTGTAAGTCGCTCTGGATAAGAGCGTCTGCTAAAGGACTAAAATGTAAATAGAAATAGATCATGTTGACCCTGGAGACAGGGGTTCGACCCTTCTTATTGTCTACCCCCTTGATCTCGCTACCTTTACTGTACCCATTTTACTGTCTCAACATTAAGTTCACTTTATAAGGTCCAATCGAAATTTGACTTCCACTTTTAACCCAACCCTTTCGAAAGACACACATACAGGTTTTTGGAGAGGTGCAGGGGGGCTGCCACACTGGGCGCCTGGGGAGCTGTTGTTGTCGTGGGAACACTCCAGTTGCTGGCTCGCCTCTAACCGCTAAGCTACCTGCCGCCTCAACAATAAAAAGCATCCAAAAACACAACTTTGAAGATGATTATGATTTGTCAAAATGTGTTGACGTAAACCACTTTTATTTATGGAAGAAGAGCAAGAGCACAGATGGTTCTATGGGCCTCAGCTGCTAAGGTTGGCCTAATTGAATAGTGTCTCCCTGAAGACCAGTTCCTGCCAGTGCCAGCAAGGAAACACTAAGCAGGGGGGTGTGGAGGAGGAGCCCAATACTGAGGGCTCACCCTGGAGTTGCTCGGTTGTTTTCAGTCTTGTGTCGAAGGCTGTCAACTTGGCCGTAGGCTATAAGAAAGCATGAGACCCTGAGGAGACTTTTCAAAACGGAGGTGGGTTCTTAATTTAGTTTGATGTTTGGTGATGAATAAGTTTCAAAGTAGCTAATAACACCTGATTCCTAATTCCTGTATTTTGTGTTTCATATGTAGTCATCATAATCTTTGGTGGAGTTATTAGTGGCACAATATATTGTATTGTAGATTTTGGAGTACTGATAGTAATGCTAAGTATTCATATTTTTACAGTGAAGATCGCATGTCAATCATCCTCATCAGAGATGACATTATCAATACTCTATATTTGTTTTATAATACCAATACCGTTACCTGGTTTAGTGAGGCTGTGTGAAGAAATCTAGTAAGTCCATCACAAGGGCCATGAATAGGCTATTGCTTCATTGGCTTAAAGACGTCCTCCTGCGATTTGTTAACTTTTACTGTTGAAAAGCGATATCAACTTTTACTGTTGAAAAGGACAATTACAGTAAAGTACACACACTAAAGAGTTTTTTGACACAACCGCAAACTTCAAGTAGTAGGGAATTCAAGGACTTGGTCTGATGGTAAATCGGTGATGTCATCGGCCTCCCCCATTGCTTGAGGAGCAATAGAGAACAAAAGAGGAAAGCCCCCCCCCCCACCCACAACTTGTGCTATGTCATGACATACCTGGACCACGTATTGAGGTGTGCCTTTTGTTAGGTAAATCAGTTGTTAAATGAGGTGAAAAGGAGACTGGAGTGCCACATTAAGGTTAGAGGTGCAGGGCTGGGTTGGTTACTTTCTAAACGGAATCAGTTACAGTTACCTAAATAAAAGGTACCTAGGCTGTCCAAAATTGTAATCGGTAAAGTAACTTTTGGATTACTCAAACTCAGTAATGTAATCTGATTACTTTCCCCTTAAGAGGAATTAGAAGACGACGAAACGGATCCATCAAACGCATTTGGTGTGTCATCCTAGTGGTCTCTGATTGGTGGTCATCATTTGGTGTGTCATCCTAGTGGTCTCTGATTGGTGGTCATCATTTGGTGTGTCATCCAAGTGGTCTCTGATTGGTGGTCATCATTTGGTGTGTCATCCTAGTGGTCTCTGATTGGTGGTCATCATTTGGTGTGTCATCCTAATGGTCTCTGATTGGTGGTCATCATTTGGTGTGTCATCCTAGTGGTCTCTGATTGGTGGTCAGCCTTACTCAGGTGGAACAAACAAACGTGTGCCTTTTTTCAATGCTGAATTGAATGTTATAGAGAAAATAGAAAGGTGTCAATGTTTTTTTTTTCTAGTAATTCAAAAGTATCTGTAATCGGAAGACAATATTTTTGCTGTAACAGATCAGTTAATTTTTTTGTAATCAGATTACATATAAAACTGGTTACTCTCCAACCCTGGAGAGGTGGCCCAGTAACCGGTTCGAATCCCCAAGATGATTGGTAGGGAATCTGCAGGGAGTGAGCCGGCAGCTGAAGGGTTACCGGCTACAATGTCCCATATACTGTATTACTTCCTGCAGTTGTGCCCTTTAGGCCTGTGTCAGGTTGTTGTGACAGCAAAAATACAGAATGTCCGTGCAAATGGACCAATTAAGGAAGTATTGTATTACATTGTGTTGTATAGTTTCTCTTCCCAGGTTCAGATGAATCGGTGGCGGAGATCAGTGGATGAGATCCAAGCTAGGAAACGGCAGGTCACAGAGTGTGAGCGTGCCCTGGAGGCCCTGAGCAAGGTGACTGCCTGTTTCCAACAGATGGCAATCTCTGTCGGAAGTAACTCAGACGGCAGCTTTCTGAGAGAGGAGATGGATGAGACCAGAGCACTGGCTCATAGAATCTGCACAGGTAAGGACACTAACGCTGTTGAATGCTAAATGGACCTCAAGATCCGACCCCTTTTTAATCTATGATTTAATGGGGTTCCGCAAACAAAAGGTGACTGATCTGACCCCTTCCATTCAAATTCAGTTTAAATCTTTTGAAGTGCAACATTCTCTCAGCCAATTGGTGTCTAAAAAGGAATTGAATCTGGAATTGAAATCACAAGTGCAAGTATTTGTGCACTTGGGAAATGCATTGTATCGTGTAAATCATATGCAAATTCCACTGTGAATAATTGTGTGTTGTCTCGTGATCCAGGGTTGCACAGACGTCTGGTCCCTCTATTGACAGAGAGGGCGACTGCACCTGGACAAGAGGATCGAGAACAGGTGGAGCGACTGTGGGTTCTCTTCCTCACTGGGTTAGAGAACCTCCAACAGGACCTGTACAAAGCCAGTGACTTAATAGACCGCTTCCCCTTGAAACAGAGGAATGACCGCCGGGCCCTTGTGAACACAGGAGCTTCAGATGGGATCACTGGGGTGTCTGCCCGGGCTGCTTCAGTCCAAACCCCCTGGCTAGCAGTGGAGGTGGAGCAAAGCCCTGACCTGAAGACGCACATCACCCAGATTGAGGCCCTGGTCAAGGAGATGCTCCAGAAAGTCAGCATTCCTTTCTGGGCGGTGGAGGCTACTCAAGAGGCCTGGGTGGAGGGCACTCAACCTCAGGATGCTGCACACAATCAGGATGAGACTCTGGAAGAGATGATGGAAGTGGTGTCCCAAGATAAGATGTTGGGGTGTTGTCATCCCCTAAACTGTAAATTGGGGTGTATGTTTTGTCTATAGACCTGACAACTGGGGTGTACTCTTTAATACTTGGTTAATGGTCAGTAAAACTTTGAATAAAGCCTAATTTATACTGTACATACACAATGCAAAACCTACAAGTACCTATGCTAAATGGCAAAAAACACAAAAATGTGCAGTCCTGCAATTTTAAAATGACAGTACACAGGACCGACATTTTGCGTAGCATTCTCGTGTTGCGTACATACGGTGTAAATTAGGGTTTTACATGCGCAAGTCATTTCTATTTACTAATGAAAACTATGAACATTAGACAAATGTATTTAGATACTGTGCAGTCAAAGAACAAATCCTTTAAAAAGGTATGATCAACTATTCAGATTTCCTTGCTAATGATAGATGTTTATGGCAAAGACCTTGTATACCTATGTTAGTGATACATTTTGTCATATGCTGACTACACCATCAAGCACGTGCATGCTGATTTTGTCCATCCACACCAGATGCGATCAGGACACCGGTTGAAATATCAAAACGAACTCTGAACCAACTATATTAATTTGGGGACAGGTCGAAACATAAATGGACATTTAGCTAGCCAATTTGTCCTGGGATATAAAAATTGGGTTGCTATTGTACCTGAAATGCACACGGTCCTTTTTTTCCCTTGGATCTTTGTAGAATTTTGACCCATTGAGTCACAAAATCATGTGTTCTCTACTCTGACAATTAATCCATAGATAAAAAGGGGAAACCTAGTTAGTTTCTCTTAATCGCTCCTTCTTCTTCTGTGGACTTGGGAGGCTGGCAACCAACTTTAAGGTGCATTACCACCACCAACTGGACTTGAGTGTGGACCTAAGTTCAGCTTTCAATCACCCACATGGGTATATGTTCCTAAAAAACAATGAAGAGACGAAAGATGAGGGACTTGTGGCGCATCAAAAATACAACCAAATTCTATTTTAGCGCCAGGCTGCGGAGACACGTGCGAGCAGTCTGGGTGAAATTATTGAACATGCGTACATTTATTTTGCAACAGGGGCGGTGTGGTCAGCATGTTAGTATGAAAGTTGTATTGATTGCTTGAAAATGTATTTATGCAAATCAAATAAAGTTGAATGTTGATTGGAAAATAACCAACAAGGCCACGATTAAACATACCTAGAAATCTTTATTCACATATAGTTCATACAAACATAAAAATATTGTACAGACATACCCAGTATTTAAAATGTACATAATTAGAAGAGAAAGAAATACACTTAGAAATCAAATAAATTGCAGGATTGTAGGATCTTGGGTCAGTTCTTGTAGGTAGAGTTCAAATGGGCTTTGAAGGCTGTAAGAAAGACACCTTTTTACTGCCGTACAAGTTTAACAAAACTATTTGATTCATGACATGAGTATTTACAGGGTGCGTCACAAATGACCTATGGGTGCTGGTCAAAATGTGTGGGTGCCATTGGGACAGATATTTGTCCATCTACTAACCTTCCTGGTTATCCCAAAGCTCAGCAGCAGCAGTGTTCAAGGGACTCTCATTGTTGGGCTCTGGACAAGACAGATTTTGGTACAAGGTCGGCAACAAATTTGACAGTGGCACACAACCTCAAAAACTGTGACAGTGATTTGATCTCAGTGTGTTCATAAATCTGATCAGGCCCCCTTATGTAAATGGTTGGGCGACAATGACCCCACCTCCTAGTAAAAGACACCCTACCTCCTAATAAACTCTGTATGGACAGCAGGATGGAGCGCACGTCATACAGAGCTGACCATTTGTCTTTCAAGATATCCAGACAGATGAAGCCCTGATCGTCGACGTTGGGGTGGAAACAGGACGTGATGAACTTCACGCGTGGGGCTTTGTAAGGGTAGCCACTAGGGAACTCCAACGACAGCTTGTACCTCAGGCCTTCGTAAACCTAAGAGATTGAGAGATGCAAGAACGCTGACACATTCTTCACCATACTTTTTTTTTTACTGTACAAAAGCTAATCAAGGCGAGCATTTGAATGTTGATGGAAGACATGTGGATCTTGTTAAAACGTCCATATAATTCACATCCAAAACAGTTCATGCATATATTCTGACGACATTTTGGTCGTCGGCAAGGGTTTGTTCGGCTGTTCGTGCACACACATATTTTTGGGTCATTCAACAAGAGAGAACTCGTTTTCATACACATTTTTTCACTTGAGAAACACAGCACCAAACATTTTCTTTTGTTGGGACTTTTCGCCCCTTTTTCGTGATATCTAATTGGTAGTTACAGTCTTGTCCCGTCGCTGCAACTCTCGTACGGACTTCGGAGGCGAAGGTCGAGAGCCATGCGTCCTCTGAAACACGACCCCGCCAAGCCGCACTGCTTGCTTAACCTGGAAGCCAGCCGCACCAATGTGTCGGAGGAAACACTGGCAGTTGGCGACCGAATTCAGCGTGCATGCGCCCGACCGCCACAAGGAGTCGCTAGAGTGCGATGGGACATGGACATCCCAGCCGACCAAACCCTCCACTAACCCGGACGACGCAGGGCCAATTGTGCACCGCCTCATGGGTCTCCTGGTCACGGCCGGCTGTGACACAGCCCGGGATCGAACCCAGATCTGTAGTGACGCCTCTAGCACGGTGATGCAGTGCCTTAGACCGCTGTGCCACTTGGGGGGCCCTGCACCAAACATCTTAGATAGATGTAAAATTGTGCAACTAAGATCTCCTCAGCCAAAAATGTAATTAATGACAGATTTTTTGAGTTATCTTAGATTCATTATATTTTGAGGAAGTGGCTACAGCGTCTAAAGAGGGACAAAATTTACTATTGCCACTTTTTTTCTCGTTTTTCAAGCAAAGGTCTTTTAAGGGAGTACGCGAGCACACACGCTCGGTTTGCCTAGCCCAAGCAGGGTTACACACCATCTACATTACTGGTCTTACAATCTGAGCCACTGCCAAGGCTGCACTTTTCATGGAGGAGTAGAAAGAAAACTTAACTTACTGTTCCCTGAGCTCCGTCTATCGTTCCGATCCACTTAAAAAGGTTGTCAGACTCCGGGAAAGCCGAGATCCCCTTATGTCCAGACATCTATATGACGTGCAAGAAATAACCTTCAGATCTAAAAGAAATAGCTGTTTTCCAAAAGAGATCAATTGATCTCAAATTGTGATTAGAAGGACATAGCGCTACATGGAGAACACTTACCATTAGTGTCATCAGCTCTTGTTGAAGTCTAGGGTGTAAAAAATATAAAAGTTTAAAATGTAAGCCTAAGGCTTGTCATTACACAAAGTTAACTCCCAATGTAAGTAGTACCAATCACCCATCTTACGTCAGATGAAATGTAGGCTATGTTACAGAACAATACTGTTTGGTTCACTTAACAGCTAAAGGGTATTTATGAAACTTGCCTTGGAAATTTCTCTTGGACCATTTGTTAAGACCCAGCCTTAGTATAAAAGTAATCGGGGAATAAATCTCGAGTATTCGAGGTAGCCTAGCGTTTAAGAGTGTTGGGCCAGTAACCGAAATGTTGCTGGTTTGAATTCCCGAGCCAACTAAGTGAAAAACATGCCGACGTGCCCTTGAGCAAGGCACTTAACCCTAATTGCTCATGTATGTCGCTTCTGCCACCCCAAACCCTACAAGAGGACAGCTCCTGCTTAGCCCATTTAAAGTGCTTCTGTCCTGGCACCCCAATGGTGAAACCAGCTTCTCCTTGAACCTAGGACAGCAGAGTCCCTGCCCAGTTTCCCGAAAACCCTACTTCTTCAAAGAAAGAGTATCCTAAATAACTCCACTGCACCCCCACATAAAATATTGCCTTTCGTGAACTAACACTCCCATTTGACTCCCCCACCACTAACACGGACTTTGCTGATAGCTACTTTGAGGAAAAATGTACTTTTGACAGATGTAGTTGTCCCACCTAGTGCATGAATCTTAAGATGGCTAACTAAGTCGCTCTGGATAAGATGGTGTGCTAAATGACTAAAATGTAAATGACGATAACTACACAAACCTTTTAGTGACTGAGCCCTTTGCTGCACTCCCACCGGTCTCATTGCCTTTCAGCGCGGCTGTGGATGAGGCTGCTGCAGGGTCCATATTTTGAGAGGCCATACTTGTAACTTACTGGAAGAACAGAATTCGAGAGGACGGTAATTAGCTAGCTAAGTAGAAGGTAGTAAACAAAATACGTTACTTGAAACACTCAAATGCACGTCGTATCTGGCATTTTGCTTCGCGCTAGCAAGCCACTCTAACCCAGGGTGTTGTCATGACGTTAGCTAAACAAGTTACAGTAGTTGGCTAGGCTAGTTAACAGTAGTTAGCTACGTTTGCATTGGCTAGCCCCGAGATCCTATGACCTAGACATAACTGTCGAATTCAGACAGCTAGATAACTAGCCATTAACACATATGGGTAACGTTATATTTGCTAATAATGTTAGCGCCTAACGTTAGCTGCATAGCAAGCTAACGTTAGGTTAGTTAACGACGCAGTTACGAGTGTCGTCTCATCAGCGTTCTTTTGCTGCAGTGCTAACTAACTAGCAAGCTGAATGACTTTTTTGCCCAGCTAACGTTTAGAATAACCAGCACGGCCTATCATATATTTCTGACTAAATAATCAAATGTCGCCATACTTGACTGGTGTGTAGGTTCTGTCCACCGACTCTATTCTTCTGCTACTGAGTTTTTCAAACTGTATAGAGACCCCGCCCACCCGTTTAAACGCCCATTATCAAATCGCTGTCACCACCCGGTTTACGAATTTGACCAATCGCAACTTCAGGTTTAAAACAAAGCAACGCTGTAGCAACCATATGGAAGAATGCACTTTGCAAAATACTTCGATGTCATTGGGGGAAAGATCATTCGGAAGTGACAGATTTGCCTATGGTTGTTCGGTCGCATTGCGTCAAAGACAAACTCGGTGATTGAAGTCGGAACTAGGAAACTCGGACATGTCCGACTTGCTGATTCGTTAAACGCGGCACCTGTGTAGTACAACCAGTTAGCAAATCGATAGTTACCAGAGTGTAACTCCAGTTCTATGAGTGAAGGGGAGCCCCATAGGGGAGCTCTGCTCCTATTGGTTTACCCCTCTGCCTAGGCAGCAAACAGCCTGAGTCAAAATTATGCACACACCTGCAGCCAATAGGAGTACAGGTGTCCTTATAAAAAGGGGACGCTTCCCCTCAATCAGCCTCCCGAGATATTATCTTCAGCGAGACTAGAGAGGGTCGGCAGGGCCTTAAGTCCTATGGGGCTCAGCTCCATTCATAGAACTGGAGTTACACTCCGGTAACTATCGTTCTATATTGTGGAGTTCCGCCCCATAGGGGAGCTCTGCTCCTAGTGGTTTAAGGCGGAGCGCAACGCTCCAAAATGTACTCCCTGCTGAGCCCAACACTTCCCATCGAAATGAAAAGGTCGGGCCTAGCAATGGCTGCGACCAAGTCCCGCAGTACTGTAACACACTGTGTCACAATATACTGCGTCATCGGTCCAAATCCGCCCCACCTAGTCCAATGGCAACACCTATGTCTACTGGGCAGATCACCAGAATACGGGCCATACTAATCTGTACTAGCAGATAGATGGTACCTCAATATCCTGTTACAACAATACGACCACTAATGGAATGGCACAAAGTGTCACTCTACATTGTGTACACGGTAGCCCGCCCCACTCAATCAATGGAACCCCAAAGATTAGTGGGCAGAGCCCAGAACAGGATTAATACTAATCTGAACAAGCAGATAGATGACGTCACATTCCATCAAAATTGTCATGACCGGTCTAATAGTACCGTAACCAAGGTTACTACTATTATCCCTCATCATTCCGCCTCAACCCAGTTATTCACTGGTGGGCAGATCAATACATGCCTTCTACTGTACTGAACATGTCAGTCAGGAGTCATGCTAAAATATGTCTTTCTATCAGAATCGAACCTGAAAGAGACCCGTCTCCTCAGTCCTGCATTCCTCTCTCTTAGCTCAAGTCCTCCCCTCAGCCACGCTGAGTACAGACTGACCCAAAGAGTTAGAAGACATATCCAAGAGATAGAAACAGACAAATGGAGACGGTGACGACCACGACGCCACTGCACAGATATCCTCTACCCCTGTTCCTCTGAAAAGGGCAGTAGAAGCAGCTACTCCACGAGTGGAGCGGGCCCTTATACCCTGAGGCAATTGTCGCCCTGCTGCCTCATAAGCGGTCTCAATGCCTTCGCAAAGCCAATGAGACAGACGCTGTTTCGAAAGTGGTCTACCTAGTGCAGCCGCACCGTGACACACAAACAGCTGAGGCGATGACCTAATCGCTGCTGTGCGCTCAACGTAACACGCCAAAGCGCGCACTGGGCACAGGCGATGGAGCCTTTCCTCTCTACTCTCCCCATGGGTAGGGGGAGAAAAAGACCACAGCTCCACGGTCTGTGATCTATATGAGCTCTTATAACCTTCGGCATAAATGCCGGGTTAGGACGTAACACCGCTCTGCTCAAATTGCCATTAATGGCAAGGCAGTCGGGTCTCGTTGAAAGAGCACACAAATCACTGACACGCTTAGCACTAGTCAAAGCGAGCAACAGTGCCGTCTTCATAGACAGCATCTTGAGGGGTATTTGATTAAATGGCTCGAACGGCGACTCACAGAGCGCTTTGAGTACCAAAGCCAAATCCCACTGAGGAATCGTGACTCTAGGCATTGGCCTAAGCCGCCGCGTTCCTAATAAGAAACATTTCACTAGAGGGTGGCTGAAGACAGTGTCTCTGCCAAACCCCTCGTGACAAGCTGAAATCGCCGCTGCAAACACCTTAATGGTGGCGGGCGATCGCTGCTTATCAAACATAAACTGCAGGAACGAGTGTACACTCTCAACCCAACAGTTCATGGGGTCTACATTCTCTGTGACACACCACTGTGAAAACACGTTCCATTTACTGGCATACACCCTGGAAGTGGGACCGGCACGTGAACCCTGTATGGACCTGATTACTGAATCAGATAACCCACGGCGCTCTAGCCTGTCCCTCTCAGGAGCCAAGCCTTCAGTGGTTGGCCGAGTATGGGCAATCGCCCTATCGAGCCTAGCGCCTGAGACAACGCGTCCCGTCGATGTGGAATTGGCCAAGGTGGCGCAATCAACATCTGACTCATCTCCGCGAACCATGGAGCCCCTGGACGATCGGGGGCCACCAATATTATTGACAGCCCGCCTGATCTCACCCTGGCTAACAGTGGGAGAATGCAGGACAGCGGTGGGAATGCATACAGGAGAACTCTCGGCCACAGTCGGTGCGCAAACGCATCCCTCCCCAGTGGCGGTTCGTCCTGTTCCCTCAGAGAGAACCATAGAGGACAATGCGCGTTCACACGTGACGCGAATAAGTCCACCTCGGCTCTCCCGAACTGTTCCCAAATTTGGAGAACAAAGTCCGGGTGCAGACGCCACTTGTCGTCTCGAGGACCCCCTCGAGACATGAGGTCTGCTCCCACGTTCAAGTAGCCCGGAATGTGTGCTGCTCTCAACGAGCGAAGGTGCTTGTGAGCCCACAGCCACAATTCCTCCGCCGACCGGTGGAGTGCAGGAGACCTGACTCCTCCCTGGCGATTTATGTAGGCTACTGTGGTCCGGTTGTCTGACCAGACCAACACATCGCGACCCCAAAGGGTAGACGCGAAGTGAGTCAGAACCAGTCAAACCGTTTCCAACTCCAAGGTTGATGTGGCGACTCGAAGGAGGCCACACACCTCCTATCGCTTGGGTCTGACATGTCCCTTCCCCATCCAGTCAGAGAGGCATCTGTAAACACTGGAATGTAGGAGGACACTTTGCCTATTGGGACTCCGTGCGTGAGAACGCGCGGGTCTCTCCAATAGTTCAGATCTGCACTGAGCGAGAGAGGAACCACCACCAACCGACGACGTTGACGCAATGGGTCTAGTCTTAGTTGGGCGAACCATCGCTGCATCCTGCGCAGGAGTCCCAGCGGGACCACGAAATGGGCTGAAGACATGAGACCCAAGAGTGACATGACTGATAGCGCTGTTACCGTGTGATTCGGACGAAACCTTCTCAGGGCTAGCAACAGGGCTACCCTTCGGGGTCCGAAATTCGAGCCCTCATCATTACAGTGTCTAGCTGTATCCCCAGGTAGACAATCTGATGACTGGGCCAGGGCGCGCTCTTTTTCCAATTCACAGAGAACCCCAGACGCATGAGATGAATCACTGTCTGTGTCGTGTGAGTGAACGCCAGCTCTGCTGACGGGGCGAGAACCAGTAGGTCGTCTAGGTAGGCTAGTAGCCTTATTCCCTGACGACGCAACGGTTCCAATGCCGCCTCCACACACTTGGAAAACATGCGAGGTGCCAGAGCATACCCGAATGGCATCCTCATGAACTTGTACGCCACCGCTTGAAAGGCGAATCGCAGAAACTTTCTGTGACGCGGTTGCACCGGCACATGAAAGTACGCGTCCTTTAGGTCTATGCTCGTACAAAAGTCTCCTTTCTGGACACATTCCAGTAGACGTTTTGTCGTGAGCATTCAGAAGGGCCGTTTGGCTACGTTCTCGTTGAGAATGCGTAAATCCAATATCGGCCTCATTCCCCCCGTCTTTTTGGGCACCAGGAAATAGGGTGAATATAGCCCCTTGTTCCTTTGCTCCCGGGGAGAGCGCAAAGCTGTGGTACATTCAGGAAGGACCTGTATTCTTCGATGGCCCTCGCCGCTGCTGTTCCTCAGCACTGAGGTGGTGGAACAGCCCAAGGCGGGCCTCCCATGAAAGGGAGAGGAAACATCAGCGCGTTCTGAGAGAAACGGGGGCACCAATACGTTGGTTAAACTCGTAACCGTAGTATTCCTGCCCTCCGTGAACGCAGCACGGGTCTGAACTGCACTGACTGAGGCATTAGCCCGAGACAGAGCGCCATCCCCAGAGAGCGATTGCATCATCATTCCATTACCTGGCTGTGACTGCAATCTGCTATGGGAGGCCTTCACTGCTGTACTCCTAGGAGTCTGCAATGTGAGGTCTTCATGAGGTAAAGCAAGGCGGCGCCTTGTTACTCTATCACACTCGCCTCATGTGTGTGCTCAGCTACGCACCCTTGGTGGGCTGAGCTACACTCAGAGTGGTGAATATCAGCGCGTTCTGAGAGAAACGGGGGCGCCGATACGTTGGTTAAACCCGTAACCGTAGTATTCCGGCCCTCCGTGAACGCAGCACGGGTCTGAACTGCACTGACTGAGGCGTTAACTTGAGACAGAGCGCTTTCACTGAATAGCGGTCGCGTCATCATGCCATTATCTGGTTGAGACTGCAGCCTGCTATGTGAGACACTCACTACAGCACTCCTAGGAGTCTGTAAAGTGAGGTCTTTATGACCTTTTTAATACCTGCCTCATGTGTGCGCTCAGTAACGCACCCATGGTGGGCTGAGCTGCACTCAGAGTGGTGAGAGAGAGAGAGAGAGAGAGAGAGAGAGAGAGAGAGTGAGGAAGGTCGAACGCTCTCGGATGTATTATGGAAAAGGGGCTATTTTTTGACAAAGTCAGGTGGCGCCAACTCTTTATTACACACATCAACAAAAACATTCTCCTCCGTCCCCTCAACAGAAGGGTGGGGGGGAATAGCGGGCGCAGTCGAACTCGTTGCTGCGCCATCTTCCATTCTCTCCCCCACGTCCCGTCACATGCGCCGTCTCTTCTGGTTGCCCTTAGGCTGCCAGGTCGACGTTCTAATGACTTCCCTCGCCGGCGGCATCGTCGGGCCTCAGGTGCTGCTGGGGGGGCGGAGCCCTCTCTCCTGCTGCTTGAAGCCGCCGTCTGGCACCGGGCACGACACCTCGCAGTAGAGCCTGCTCTACTAGAGGCGGTGGAGGTGGACTGTTTTGTAGTAGTCACGTGGCCTGCTCTCCCTGCCAGTGGCAGGTATCTGGCCAGCTGCTTCCTCTCCTCATCGAGCTTCGTGAAGCGCTCCGTCGCCTCTTTGATGGCGACTCCGAAGAGCCCGTCGTCAGAGAAGGGGGCGTTCAGAAGCGACGCTCTGTCTGCTTCTTTCATGGTTGTCAGTGACAACCATAGGTGTCGCTCCGCGACCACCGAAGTGGCCATGGACCTCCCCGCGCAGACAGCTGACGCCTGTGTCAGGTGAAGAATAGCGCCAGAAATCCCGGACGCCTCTTCCACCTCCTCCTTGCCGAGCTCAGTCTTACCCGTGGTTAGACGGGACAGAGGGGCCGCTAGGAGGGCAATGTTATTTTCTGCTGCTACAGCTTGGGCCCCCAACGTAAAATAATTTTCCACCAGCTGTGCTGTGAAGCGGTCTTTCTGCGTCGGCAGAGTGGCCTTCTTGGAAGAGGGCCAGGGACTCGAACCCGGCACGAGATACGCAGCCAGTGCGCTCTCTAGCCTGGGGATTCCCTTAGTGAAGCCCTGTTGCCTTCCCTCCACTCTGGTAAACGACGGGAGGTACGCCTTGGCCAGCGAACGCGCCGCCAGAGGCGCCTCCCATGAGCCCTCAACGTATTTTGCCAGCGAGGGCATTGCTGGAGCCAAAGGCTCCGCCGCCCTCCTTGACCGAGAATAGGGGCCGCCCTCCATCATGTCCACATCCGGTGCGGAGAGAATGGGGGGCAGCGCTATCTCCAAACGTCTAGCAGCCCTCTCAATGAGCCCAGGAAAGTCTGAGCGCAGAGAGGCTGCTGCGAAGGACAGGGCTACTGATCTCTCAGAGCCCGTGTCGGCATCGCCCAGGGAAGTACAAGACCTCTCACTCTCCATAGGAATATCCATCTCATCCCCATAATCCCGGTCTTCTCCAGAGTCGGCGCACTCGGATGATGCCTCAGAAGCTGAGGCTAACACCGATAGCACGTCCTCCAAAGGGATATCCTCCCTAAAGAACGCCCAGCGCTGCTTCCTCTCCTTCAAATAAAAGAGGGCGCAGCTGGCGCAAATAGGGGGATTGCTGATGCGTGCTGTGAACCCAAAGGTCGTGGGGGTCCGCAGCCACCATGGAGGAGCAGCGGCATTGAGCTCTGAAAAGAGCATTTGGGGGTGGAAAATCTCCTGGTGTGCTCATTTAGGACGACGTCGATGACCTGGAAAATCGACTGCGTTTTCTTCGTCCTGAGTCTTCGTCTCTTCTTGGCTTCTTCAGTCTAGTCACTGAAGATAATGTGAGGCTGATTGAGGGGAAGTGTCCCCTCTTATAGGGACACCCGTACTCCGATTGGCTGCAGGTGTGTGCATAATTTTGCCTCAGGCTGTTCGCTGCCTAGGCAGCGGGGTAAACCAATAGGAGCAGAGCTCCCCTATGGGGCGGAGCTCCACGATATAGAACATACTTTTTAGAGTTTCCTAGTTCCGACTAGCACTGTTGCATGAGCAACAGTCGGTCTTTAACACAGCCACAAAGTCATAATTATGGCCAAAGCACGCATTTCTACAATTTATCTTCTTAAAATATGATTTTAAACCTAACCATTACCACACTGCCAGCCTTCTGCCTACCCCTAACCTTAAACTCATTTTTGTAATCAATTTAAAATTTGTGGCTGTGTTACCTAGTGGAAACACGGTTGGTCGAATACATTTTTAGTCAGTCAATCCAATGAAAACACCCAACAATGAAACAAATACCAAATATCAAAACCAAACACTTAAAAAAATATTAACATTAACAGAAAAAAATGAAACGTAAATTTAAACAAAACACTTTCAACTAGATCATAGTTAATGTCCTGTACTTCTCGTAGCTTACCACAATGTAAACAACCTGTAAGATACAATTTTCCTGAACTACAAAATAACCAAAAACATAGATGTCTCAATAATAGATATTTACCTACACTATTGTGGAAGAGGTGAGGTGACGAAACAGCCTGTATGGTAAAATATTTCTCCAACATATTTGCTCCATTATTTTAAAACGCAATAAACTATATAAAAGGTAGACATACAAGGGATATTTGAACAGAACAGCTGCAGATTATTGACAAAAAACATTCTGACAAATATACTGAATAAACCAGACATAGACAAATCAATACCTTTATTAATAAGTGAATAAGGTTGATTCACGTCTTTGCTAGAAAACAAGTACATGGCCTAAAAATTCATCATGGTCTATGCCGTGAAGTACAATGACATAAAAGGACCTGACATTGTAGAAACATATTACAATATAAAATTGAGAATACAGTTGAGAAGATGGGAAAACAAAATGACTGATTGTTCAAGAACAGTAGAAAAGTCCTTATATTCAATGTGGGGGGAGGCACCCCCTCGCCCCAAGAACCGTTCTATTAGCAAGGGGCCATAGCCTGCCATAGAGCCCGTTACAGTACCGTAAGGATGGGTAAAAAAGAAAAGGAAAAAAGGGGGCACATTTCTTCATCAAATAGAACTGATCAGTAATTATATACAATGACATCCACACATCTAAAATACATTGGCACTCATGTACAGTCTCTCTTGATTTGATATGATTGATATATGAATTCTTTCTGTGGCTGTGTCCGAAATTGACATTTTAGATTTGAGTCATTTAGCAGACACCTACAGGAGCAATCAGGGTTAAGTGTCTTGCTCAAGGGCACATTGACAGATTTCTCAGTCGGCTCGGGATTCCAACCAGTGACCTTTCGGTTACTGGCCCAATGCTTTAAACCGCTAGGCTACCTGCCGCCCACAAAATGGCAGCCTATTCCCTTTGGTGCACTACTTTGTTCCAGGGGCAATAGGGCTCTGGTGAACAGAAGTGTTATATATAGGCCAGGGAATAGGGTGCCATTTGCTAAGGCAGACTTTATTCCTTCCCTGAACTCTGGACCTCCATGGCTTTTTGCATCTTCTCAATCATCCACCCAGGAACTGTAAAAGGCTTCAACTCAACTGGGGTCATTTTCAGGTCAGGGCAATCTCTTTAAAAAAAAACATAAAATAAACAACACACAACAGAATCATAATCTCATCCTGAAAACAGGCTAAGCCCTTTGGGCTTGATTTAGCCTGGTCGCCCCAGACCTGTTTGAGCTGTAGGCTATGGCCAATTTATCTGGGGTGACCAGGCTAGGCATGCCTGGTTTAAGAAGTGAATATCCATCGAAGATACTCCATTCAATGACAGATGAATTGACACTCATTGAATAAAATGGGGGCCAACAAATGTCTTCCTTACTTGTAATCATTACTCAGAGAAAGGTCCTGGACATCCTCTTCAATAAGGAGATAGGCCTATAAAATTATAAAATGTTTAGATTAAGTTAGATTAGTTTACATTAGTTCATACATTTAGCAGATCATACTTGCAAGGTGCAAATATGTAGAAAATCGCTCCGCCATTACCTGGTTGTTCAAATTCTATCATGTTCGCCTAATTTCAGTTTATGCGATAAAACAAGCAATTTATAGTTTAAAGAATCATATTACAATCTTTTCAATAACCAATCTTTTCAAAAAGTCACTGCTCTAGAATGTAGTGAAATACTGGTAAATTCAAGAGGGTGCACCTATATTAAATGTCTAAACGTAGTTCTTTGCCCTATGCCATTATGAATCAGATTCCACTAATCATTAGATTGTCCTATACCATATTACAACCTTAGGGGCCTCCCGAGTGGCGCAGCGGTCTAAGGCACTGCATTGCAGTGCTTGCGGCATCACTACAGACCCAGGTTCGATCCCGGGCTGTGTCGCAGCCAACCGCGACCGGGAGACCAATGAGGCGGCGCACAATTGGCCCAGCGTCGTCCGGGTTAGTGGAGGATTTGGCCGGCCGGGATGTCCTTGTCCCATCGCGCTCCAGCGACTCCTGTGGCGGGCCGGGCGCATACATGCTAACACGGTTGCCAGTTGTATGGTGTTTCCTCCAACACATTGGTGCGGCTGGCTTCCGGGTTAAGCGAGCAGTGTGTCAAGAAGCAGTGCGGCTTGGCAGGGTTGACCTTCGCTTCTCCCGAGTCCGTATGGGTGTTGCAGCGATGGGACAAGACTAACTACCAATTGGATATTACAAAATTGGGGGGGAAAAAAGAACACTAACAAAAACAAATAAACATTATACACACACACACACATACATATATATATATATATATATACACACACACAGTGGGGAGAACAAGTATTTGATACACTGCCGATATTGCAGGTTTTCCTACTTACAAAGCATGTAGAGGTCTGTAATATTTATCATAAGTACACATCAACTGTGAGAGACGGAATCTAAAACAAAAATCCAGAAAATCACATTGTATGATTTAAGTAATTAATTTGCATTTTATTGCATGACATAAGTATTTGATCACCTACCAACCAGTAAGAATTCCGGCTCTCACAGACCTGTTAGTTTTTCTTTAAGAAGTCCTCCTGTTCTCCACTCATTACCTGTATTAACTGCACCTGTTTGAACTCGTTACCTGTATAAAAGACACCTGTCCACACACTCAATCAAACAGACTCCAACCTCTCCACAATGGCCAAGACCAGAGAGATGTGTAAGGACATCAGGGATAACATTGTAGACCTGCACAAGGCTGGGATGGGCTACAGGACAATAGGCAAGCAGCTTGGTGAGAAGGCAACAACTGTTGGCGCAATTATTAGAAAAAGGAAGAAGTTCAAGATGACGGTCAATCACCCTCCATGCAAGATCTCACCTCGTGGGGCATCAATGATCATGAGGAAGGTGAGGGATCAGCCCAGAACTACACAGCAGGACCTGGTCAATGACCTGAAGAGAGCTGGGACCACAGTCTCAAAGAAAACCATTAGTAACACACTACGCCGTCATGGATTAAAATCCTGCAGCGCACGCAAGGTCCCCCTGCTCAAGCCAGCGCATGTCCAGGCCCGTCTGAAGTTTGCCAATGACCATCTGGATGATCCAGAGGAGGAATGGGAGAAGGTCATGTGGTCTGATGAGACAAAGATATAGCTTTTTGGTCTAAACTCCACTCGCCGTGTTTGGAGGAAGAAGAAGGATGAGTACAACCCCAAGAACACCATCCCAACCGTGAAGCATGGAGGTGGAAACATCATTCTTTGGGGAAGCTTTTCTGCAAAGGGGACAGGAGGACTGCACCGTATTGAGGGGAGGATGGATGGGGTCATGTATCGCGAGATCTTGGCCAACAACCTCCTTCCCTCAGTAAGAGCATTGAAGATGGGTCGTGGCTGGGTCTTCCAGCATGAAAACGACCCAAAACACACAGCCAGGGCAACTAAGGAGTGGCTCCGTAAGAAGCATCTCAAGGTCCTGGAGTGGCCTAGCCAGTCTCCAGACCTGAACCCAATAGAACATCTTTGGAGGGAGCTGAAAGTCCGTATTGCCCAGCGACAACCCCGAAACCTGAAGGATCTGGAGAAGGTCTGTATGGAGCAGTGGCCCAAAATCCCTGCTGCAGTGTGTGCAAACCTGGTCAAGACCTACAGGAAACGTATGATCTCTGTAATTGCAAACAAAGGTTTCTGTACCAAATATTAAGTTCTGCTTTTCTGATGTATCAAATACTTATGTCATGCAATAAATGCAAATGAATTACTTAAAAATCATACAATGTGATTTTCTGGATTTTTGTTTTAGATTCCGTCTCTCACAGTTGAGATACTTGTTCTCCCCACTGTACATACACACACAAATATATACACACACATACATACAGTGGGGAGAACAAGTATTTGATACACTGACGATTTTGCAGGTTTTCCTACTTACAAAGCATGTAGAGGTCTGTAATTTTTATCATAGGTACACTTCAACTGTGAGAGACGGAATCTAAATTCAGGAAATCACATTGTATGATTTTTAAGTAATTAATTTGCATTTTATTGCATGACATAAGTATTTGATCACCTACCAACCAGTAAGAATTCCGGCTCTCACAGACCTGATAGTTTTTCTTTAAGAAGCCCTCCTGTTCTCCACTCATTACCTGTATTAACTGCACCTGTTTGAACTCGTCTTTTATACAGGTAACGAGTTCAAAGTATGTGTTTAGGTAAACATAATTTTTTTTGTTTTATTCTATAAACTACTGACAACATTTCTCCCAAATTCCAAATAAAAAATATTGTCATTTAGAGCATTTATTTGCAGAAAATGACACCTGGTCAAAATAACAAAAAATATGTAGTGTTGTCAGACCTCGAATAATGCAAAGAAAATAAGTTCATGTTCATTTTTAAACAACACAATACTAATGTTTTAACTTAGGAAGAGTTCAGAAATCAATATTTGGTGGAATAACCCAGATTTTCAATCACAGCTTTCATGCGTCTTGGCATGCTCTCCACCAGTCTTTCACATTGATGTTGGGTGACTTTATGCCACTCCTGGCGCAAAAATTCAAGCAGCTCGGCTTTGTTTGATGGCTTGTGACCATCCATCTTCCTCTTGATCACATTCCAGAAGTTTTCAATGGGGTTCAGGTCTGGAGATTGGGCTGGCCATAACAGGGTCTTGATCTGGTGGTCCTCCATCCACACCTTGATTCACCTGGCTGTGTGCCATGGCGCATTGTCCTGCTGGAAAAACCAATCCTCAGAGTTGGGGAACAATGTCAGAGCAAAACGAAGCAAGTTTTCTTCCAGGACAACCTTGTACATGGCTTGATTCATGCATCCTTCACAAAAGACAAATCTGCCCGATTCCAGCCTTGCTGAAGCACACCCAGATCATCACCAATCCTCCACCAAATTTCACAGTGGGTGCGAGACACTGTGGCTTGTAGGCCTCTCCAGGTCTCCGTCTAACCATTAGACGACCAAGTGTTGGGCAAAGCTGAAAATTGGACTCATCAGAGAAGATGACCTTACTCCAGTCCTCTGCGGTCCAATCCTTATGGTCTTTTGCAAACCTCAGCCTGGCTCTTCTTTGCTTCTCATTGATGAAGGGCTTTTTTCTAGTTTTGAACGACTTCAGCCCTGCCCCTAGGAGCCTGTTTCGAACCGTCCTCGCCGTGCACTTCACCCCAGCTGCCATTTGCCATTCTTTTTGTAGGTCACTTGATGTCATCCTACGGTTGTTGAGTGACATTCGAATGAGTTGGCGGTCATCCCGGTCAGTAGAGAGTCGTTTTCGCCCTCTGCCGGTCTGTAGCTTTGTTGTCCCCTATGTCTGCTGCTTGACCTTGTTCTTATGAACCACCGTCTTTGAAATTTTAAGGATGGAAGCAACCTGACGTTCACTGTATCCCTCTGCCAGTAAAGCCAGAATTGAACCCTTCTTTTCCTCACTCAACTTTCCTTTTCAACTCTTTTGTCATGGTCAATAGTTATTTTTTGATTAATATTACTTTTGAGGTACTATTAGCACTGTTTTTGCCATCCAACTGGTCCTATTGCAAGAGGATAGTGATGACCACAGTAGTGTTTTTTATACTTTTCCTCGTTAAATAAGATTTGGTTCATGTGATCACCTAATCAGTACCTAATTCAGTAGAATGAGGTGTGCCTGTGTTGGAATTCAACAGACACTGGAATGGAATAGCTGTCATACATGTAGAGATGCTGATTTAAGAAAAATGTGCAGTGGTCCCTTAATTTTTTCCACAACTGTATATACACACACACACACACACACACACACACACACATATATATATATATATATATGTTTGTGTATATATATACAGTGAGGGAAAAAAGTATTTGATCCCCTGCTGATTTTGTACGTTTGCCCACTGACAAAGACATGATCAATCTATCATTTTAATGGTAGGTTTATTTGAACAGTGAGAGACAGAATAACAACAAAAAAATCCAGAAAAACGCATGTCAAAAATGTTATAAATTGATTTGCATTTTAATGAGGGAAAGAAGTATTTGACCCCCTCTCAAATCAGAAAGATTTCTGGCTCCCAGGTGTCTTTTATACAGGTAACGAGCTGAGATTAGGAGCACACTCTTAAAGGGAGTGTTCCTAATCTCAGTTTGTTACCTGATAAAAGACACCTGTCCACAGAAGCAATCAATCAATCAGATTCAAAACGCTCCACCTTGGCCAAGACCAAAGAGCTCTCCAAGGATGTCAGGGACAAGATTGTAGACCTACACAAGGCTGGAATGGGCTACAAGACCATCGCCAAGCAGCTTGGTGAGAAGGTGACAACAGTTGGTGCGATTATTCGCAAATGGAAGAAACACAAAATTCGGCCTGGGGCTCCATGCAAGATCTCTCCTCGTGGAGTTGCAATGATCATGAGAACGGTGAGGAATCAGCCCAGAACTACACGGAAGGATCTTGTCAATGATCTTAAGGCAGCTGGGACCATAGTCATCAAGAAAACAATTGGTAACACACTACGCCGTGAAGGACTGAAATCCTGCAGCGCCCGCAAGGTCCCCCTGCTCAAGAAAGCACATATACAGGCCCGTCTGATGTTTGCCAATGAACATCTGAATGATTCAGAGGAGAACTGGGTGAAAGTGTTGTGGTCAGATGAGACCAAAATCGAGCTCTTTGGCATCAACTCAACTCGCCGTGTTTGGAGGAGGAGGAATGCTGCCTATGACCCCAAGAGCACCATCCCCACCGTCAAACATGGAGGTGGAAACATTATGCTTTGGGGGTGTTTTTCTGCTAAGGGGAAAGGACAACTTCACCGCATCAAAGGGACGATGGACGGGGCCATGTACCGTCAAATCTTGGGTGAGAACCTCCTTCCTTCAGCCAGTGCATTGAAAAATGGGTCGTGGATGGGTATTCCAGCATGACAATGACCCAAAACACACATCCAAGGCAACAAAGGAGTGGCTCAAGCAGAAGCACATTAAGATCCTGGAGTGGCCTTGCCAGTCTCCAGACCTTAATCACATAGAAAATCTGTGGAGGGAGCTGAAGGTTCGAGTTGCCAAACGTCAGCCTCGAAACCTTAATGACTTGGAGAAGATCTGCAAAGAGGAGTGGAACAAAATCCCTCCTGAGATGTGTGCAAACCTGGTGGCCAACTACAAGAAACGTCTGACCTCTGTGATTGCCAACAAGGGTTTTGCCACCAAGTACTAAGTCATGTCTTGCAGAGGGTCAAATACTTATTTCCCTCATTAAAATGCTAATCAATTTATAGCATTTTTGACATGCGTTTTTCTGGATTTTGTTGTTGTTATTCTGTCTCTCACTGTTCAAATAACAGTGAGAGATAATAATCATTAAAATTATAGACTGATCATGTCTTTGTCAGTGGGCAAACGTACAAAATCAGCAGGGGATCAAATACTTTTTTCCCTCACTGTATATTATAACCTTAATATGCTTGTCCTTAACAGTGTTGATTAAATAAGAACGTTAGTTTGTTGTGACCGTTGCTAGTTTAAACCGCCCAGCTCTTGGTTGTCTCTTTTTCATTTTTCGGCATTGGGAGGTGTTAACATTTGGAGGTGTTTCCGCGGTTTGGACCAATCAAAATCAACTTGGTAGCCTCGTCATTTTCATCACCAGATCCATGGCTTCCTATTAATCTAACCCCAGTCAATTAACGTTGAGGGGGTGTTCTCTATTGAATTAATATATTTTGTATACACATTGAATGAAATAATAATGCTATGGGTGAACACCCTATAAGCTGTATGAAGCTGGTGTGTACAAAACCGAAAGTAAAAAGACAAAAGCTAAACTTAAGGACGGGAAGCATAGAAATGACAGCTTATCAAACTTGCTTTCAATGAGAATGACAGATCTATAACTCACATTTCTATGTGAATTTAGTTGGGTCGCCCACAAAGATTGGTTTGTGCTTTAGCCAACTGCATGACAACGAACATGACAGAGGAGTTTGGCTAAAGCACAAAGAGATATGCTATCAGGCTAGAGATCCGCGTCCAGGCTAGAGATCCGCGTCCAGGCTAGAGATCCGCGTCCAGGCTAGAGATCCGCGTCCAGGCTAGAGATCCGCGTCCAGGCTAGAGATCCGCGTCCAGGCTAGAGATATGCTATCAGGCTAGAGATCCGCGTCCAGGCTAGAGATCCGCGTCCAGGCTAGAGATATGCTATCAGGCTAGAGATCCGCGTCCAGGCTAGAGATCCGCGTCCAGGCTAGAGATATGCTATCAGGCTAGAGATCCGCGTCCAGGCTAGAGATCCGCGTCCAGGCTAGAGATCCGCGTCCAGGCTAGAGATCCGCGTCCAGGCTAGAGATCCGCGTCCAGGCTAGAGATCCGCGTCCAGGCTAGAGATCCGCGTCCAGGCTAGAGATATGCTATCAGGCTAGAGATCCGCGTCCAGGCTAGAGATATGCTATCAGGCTAGAGATCCGCGTCCAGGCTAGAGATCCGCGTCCAGGCTAGAGATATGCTATCAGGCTAGAGATCCGCGTCCAGGCTAGAGATCCGCGTCCAGGCTAGAGTTGGGTACAGAGCTCTTACCATCTTTCCACCTGTGGCTCTCATATGCTGTCTCTCCGCCAACCAGTGTTTGTCCTGGGCATCGGCCGCATACTGAAAACACACACAGACACAGTATTATTACTTTGCTGTAAGCTTTGTAATGGTTTATGGTAGGGGAGACAGGATGGTTGTCTCACTCACGGGTTGGTTAGCATAATATAGCAGACAGTGAAGAAACCGTCACCGCACATTGCCACTCCGGTTCCACATTTCTTTTTGACTTTTTGATTTAATTGTATGTGCTCCTTTAATTCCGTTTTTAGCTCCCAATGTACACATGAAATACAATTTATTAAACTAATATTGCTTACTTCTAATCTACAGGTTGTTGTGTAACCATAAGATAAAACATTACAAGGGGTCATCCACCTACAGGTAACTGCCAAATAAAGGAAAACACCAACAAAGTGTCTTAATAGGGCGTTGGGCCACAACGAGCCAGAACAGCTTCAATGCCAAGAGCTTCAATGCACCTTGGCATAGATTCTACAAGTGTCTGGAACCCTATTGGAGGGATGTGACAGCATTCTTCCACGAGAAATTCCATCATTTAGTGTTTTGTTGAAGGTGGTGGAAAACATTGTCACAGGCCACACTCCGGAATCTTCCATAAGGGTTTAAATTGGGTTGACATCTGGTGACTGAGACGGCCATGGCATATGGTTTACATCGTTTTCATGCTCATCAAACCTTTCATTGACCACTCGTGCTGTATGGATGGGGGCATTGTCATCATGGAAGAGACCACTCCCATCAGGATAGAAATTATTCACCATAGGTGATCACTCAGAATGGCTGTGTTTTTATTGGTGTTTACCTTGCCCTCTAAGGGGTTGAGTGGACCTAAACCATGCTAGGAAAATGCACCCCACACCATAACAGAGCCTCCAGAACCCTCATTTCCTCAAGTGTTTCCATTATTTTGGAAGTTACCTGTATGTCACCTATCAAGCTGAAGAGACAGCAGACTTTGGCTTGCCAGAGGCCTTTTTCAAGCCGATTATGACTGCTGCCCAGATGTCTAAAGGGTGGTTTTTGAGTTGGATTATTTGTTTGCTGAGAAATTGTGCTTTCCACAGAACATACCCAAGGGTATATGCCATAGGAGATCTGCAACGGGATCCCTAAGTTCATCCAAACGAAAACAGGACGATTCTGACATGGAAATGCCGGCCAACATACACTACATGACCAGAAGTATGTGGACACCTGCTCGTCGAACATCTAATTCCAAAATCATGGGCATTAATATGGAGTTGGTCCCCCCTTTGCTGCTATAACAGCCTCCACTCTTCTTGGAAGTCTGTCCACTAGATGTTGAAACATTGCTGCGGGGACTTGCTTCCATTCAGCCACAAAAGCATTAGTGAGGTCGGGCACTGATGTTGGGTGATTAGGCCTGGCTGGCAGTCGGCGTTCCAATTAATCCCAAAGGTGTTCGATGGGGTTGAGGTCAGGGCTCTGTGCAGGCCAGTCAAGTTCTTCCACACCGATCTCGACAAACCATTTCTGTACGGACCTTGCTTTGTGCACAGGGGCATTGTCATGCTGAAACAGGAAAGGGCCTTCCCCAAACTGTTGACACAAAGTTGGAAGCACAGAATCGTCTAGAATGTCATTGTATTCTGTAGCGTTAAGATTTCCCTTCACTGGAACTAAGGGGCCTAGCCCGAACCATGAAAAACAGCCACAGACCATTATTCCTCATCCACCAAACTTTACAGTTGGCACTATACATTCGGGCAGGTAGCATTCTCCTGGCATCTGCCAAACCCAGATTCGTCCGTCGGAATGCCAGATGGTGAAGCATAATTCATCACTCCAGAGAACACGTTTCCACTGCTCCAGAGTCCAATGACGGCGAGCTTTACACCACTCCAGCCGAAGCTTGGCATTGCGCATGGTGATTTTAGTCTTGTGTGCGGCTGCTCGGCCATGGAAACCCATTTTATGAAGCTCCCGACTAACAGTTATTGTGCTGACGTTGCTTCCAGAGGCAGTTTGGAACTCGGTAGTGAGTGTTGCAACAGAGGACAGACAATTTTTACGTGCTGCGCGCTTCAACACTCGGCAGTCCCGTTCTATGAGCTTGTGTGGCCTACCACTTTGCGGCTGAGGCGTTGTTGCTCCTAGATGGTTCCACTTCACAATAACAGCACTTACAGTTGACCGGGGCAGCTCAAGCAGGGCAGAAACTGAGCTCTTCACTAAGGCCATTCTACTGCCAATGTTTGTCTATGGAGATTGCATGGCTGTGTGCTCGATTTTATACACCCGTCAGCAACGGGTGTGGCTGAAATAGCCGAATCCAGTCATTTGAAGGGGTGTCCACATATATATATATATATATATATCGATTTTGGTTCTCCATAGAGACAACATATTTTTTACGTAATCTGAAACACCGCCATTGTTCTCAGCATTTAGTGCTTATTAAACCATCTGGGGAAAAATATTTTAGTTGATGCTTCCTTACTTTCCTGTTTTATTGCTCTCATTTATCTGGAAACAGATGTGGGATAACGCAGTAGGTTAGATGCAGAGCGCGTTCATTTATTTAAAACAACCAAATGTACATCCTGCATTTTTGTCACCTCAGAAAGAGAAAGCGAGAGAGAGAGAGAGAGAGAGAGAGTTACCTTGAAGAGGTCAGTATGTTTGATGTAAATCCTTCCTCTGGTGCCACCCATTCCTAAAGCCCTACAATTAAAAACAGGGATTTCAGGTTTCATTAGAAACATACCATAAAAACAACGTAGACAAGGTTGGTGGACCACGCACCCCATGTAAATTCCATTCTCTCTTTATTTTGTGTGTATGTGTGAGTCAATTGAACATTGTTAATACTCTACTTCCAATTTCCACTAACTTGTTTGCTCTGGACCCAAGAACAAATCTGCTCCCTTCATTCAGTCTGGAAGGGTCCCACTGTATAATATGAAAACATTCCATTATACAGATAATACTCTAATTTATTTATTTACATTACATTGATTTCATCTAAAAAGGACAGTGTGTTTGAGCTTTAAAATTTTTTAGAATGCATGAGGGAAACTTGTTATAGTTGCGTGGTATAATTGATAAATGACTATTGCATTTAGCCATTATCACATAACTAATTAATAGAAGCAATAACATATAAACTCTTACCTTTGGTCCCTGACGCTTTATGGACTCTGATGTCTTGGGCTTGGGCCTACAGAATAGCGGAACACAATGGGAGAACATGCATATGGATCATGGGATTCTACATCATACATGTTTGAATATTCACCTTAATCTAGATTTACATTGAAGAGATATGGGACGACTAAGTAATAATATGCCATTTAGCAGACGCTTTTATCCAAAGCGACTTACAGTCATGTGTGCATACATTTTTACGTATGGGTGGTCCCAGGGATCGAACCCACTACCCTGGCGTTACAAGCGCCATGCTCTACCAATTGAGCTACAGAGGACCTTCAGTGTCACTTCTATGTGAATTAGAGTTTGAGCATTCATGCAGCAGTGATTTTACATGTAGGTTTTGACAATGAAAACAACTGCTCACTGACAGCAAGGTGAAAACATGTCTTGTCGAACAGGAGCACATACTCACACATTACTATATGTAGTAGGCTTGTCATAGGAACCGACAGGAGCAGTTGTGCGCCCTTTCCGCTGGAAAAAAAGACATTGCCATATGATGGGGATTTTCCATTTAAGCATAGTTAATTACATCATGACAAGCTAACAATGTATGGTTAAATAGTTAATCACAACATGACAAGAAGAGGCCTGAAACAGAGCAAGGAAATAGCTCAGGGAATTGTGAAACAGAGCCAGGAAATGGCTCTGTTAGATTTTAACCATATGATGAGGATTTTTCAGTGGACTATGGGATAGACATGGTTAATCAACAAATACAGAGCTAGGGTTAAACATGGATACATCTCTGTTGCTAGGCAAGAACGTAATTGGTTTCTCTCACTGGGTTTATGTGTTTGTTCTCTGGTCATCTGACCTGTCTTCGGTTGTCTTATCTTATCAGTGACTGAAACCAGGCTGAACCCTTTGTCTCTCCTTGAGCGTCTTCCTGATTAAATTATAGCGTGATGGGCTGGGACAGAGGGATTAGGTTTAGGTATGGTTGAGAGATTGATTGTGGGCCTGCCATGTTGTCCACAATCCATCTCCAGGTCAAGCCAGGGTGAGCCAGGTTTGAACAAAGTTCAAACTGAACATTATTATTTTTACATGACAGGGCTGTTATTTGTGCATGACAAAGCTTGATTGGTCACACCACCATTGTTTCCAAACTGAATAGAAGTCAGATTGCGCCACTATCATAAACTAAGGAAGTGGGCGGAGCGGTCAAGAGGGGAAACTGAAGACAGTGGTGGTGGAACCCAAGAGGGAGGGGTTAAGATAAAAATGTATGTAAAATTACTATATAAACTGAGAGCTGGGAGGTGGACAATCAGATGTTTTGCAAACCACCTCGGCTCTATTACGTATGTAATAAAGTCTATCTTAATTCTACAAAAACTCTGAAATACTTTTGGTTCTTTGATTAGTATAAGGACAAATTTGCCACAACATATATTGTCAGTTACTCTGCGTTTTGGATAAGTTCATTATTTTGATGAAGGTTTATTCTACAGACTGGTTTACCTTCTTTGGAACAGGGCTGGTCCTTTGACTGGATTCATCCTCCAGTTTCGCCCGCTGCAAGAAAATAGATATTGTTGCTGAAGTGGAAGAGACAGTGATAGCCCTATATCCTTATTTTCCCTCCAACAACTGGGGGTAATAAGACTAATGCAATGAGGAAAACCCTCATTCATACTTCCAGCCGGCATACTCACTTTCAAACATCATCATCATTTTTGGAAGCGTAAATCAGTGTCATGTTCACTTTAAATCTGCAACTTCACTTATGGTGACAACTACATTTATATGAGACTTGGACTCATTCTAGATGAGTCTTTCTGCAATATATCTCACATCCTATCTCCTCGCCTCCTTCTCAACCGTATTTGAGAAGGTCCAAGGTCCCTCCCCTCCAATACATTTTGAGGTAAGGAAAGAGGAACGTGAGGAATCGAGGAAAGATGGATTGAGAAAGAGCCATCATGATCTTCACTCATTTAAAATCTTCCTTTACCTTGACTGGAGGCTCAGGGCCGGTTCTTGTCACTGTCGCTTTCTTCCCGTCTGAGAAGAGCTGTTTGGACTGACAAGGGACAGGAACTGAACATTACTCACAGACGTCTCTGCGCGTTAACCACAGAATCTAAACAGTGATACTTCTTTGAAACACAGTTGCCATCTTACATTTTCCAAGCAGTTTATGCAGGCTTCTCGGATCAGCTGCTCTGTCTGGACGTCCTCTTCGAAGTTCTTCTTCACGTTGCTGGCTGCTTTCTCGAAAACTGTCGCAAATAAAGACAATTCTTGGCACCCCGGTTTTCAGTACTCCAGCACCCTACCCTTGAGGATAACAACACTGAGGCTTTTTCTAAAACGTTTTATGAGATTGGAGAATACATGGAAGGGATCTTTAACCATTCCCCCATATAGAATATTTTTTCTTGATCTCCTTCGTCTGCTCTTATGGACTGCTCAGAACTCTATTTTCATGTCATCTGACCATAGCACTGCCCGGAGTTTGATAAAAGGCATTGGCACTTGCATTGGCACTTGGATTGGAACTGGTGCTATGGTCAGATGACATCTTTGGCCACACACCAGTGGTGGGTATGGCATTGAATAACGGAAGCATATGCAGAAAAGTACCTCATACCTATGGTAAAATATGGTGCTTTGTCTTTTATGTTATGGGGCTATTTTATTTCCACTGGTCCTGGGGCTCTTGTTAAGGTCAACGGCATCATGACCTTTACCCAGCACCAGAACATTTTAGGCAAAAACATGGTTGCATCTAACAGGTGGCTGAGGAGGGTGCTGAAATATTGAAAACAGGGGTGCCAATAATGAGGCGGGTGCTAGAGTATTGAAAATAGGGGTGCCAATAACTTCAACCCCTATCTTTTTTTAAAAATTATTATTATTATTTGCCAAACAAAATATATTTCTCTGAGCATTTTTATTAGCATACATTTTTTTGGAGCACACAATATATCTCAGTATTATTTATTTCATATGGTATTTCCTTCTTCTCTTTATCAAGGGTGCCAATAATTATGGACCTGACTGCCTTCAGAGTATTCACACCCCTTCCCTTTATCCACATTTTGTTAAGTTACAGCCTTATTCTAAAATGGAATAAATAAATAAACATCCTCATCAATCTACACACAATACCCCATAATGACAAAACGAAAACAGGTTTGTAGAAATAAATACAATAATCTTATAAATACAAAAACTGAAATACCTTATTTACATAAGTATTCAGACCCTTTGCTATGAGACTCAAAATGGAGCTCAGGTGCATCCTGTTTCCATTGATCATCCTTGAGATGTTTCTACAACTTGATTGGACATGATTTGGAAAGGCACACCATTTGGAAAGGCACACACCTGTCTATATAAGGTCTCACAGTTGACAGTGCATGCCAGAGCAAAAACCAAGCCATGAGGTCGAAGGAATTGTCCGTAGAGCGCCAAAACAGGATTGTGTCAAGGCACAGATCTGGGGAAGGGTACCAAAACATTTCTGCAGCATTGAAAGTCCCCAAGAACACAGTGGCCTCCATCATTCTCAAATGGAAGAAGTTTGGAACCACCAAGACTCTTCCTAAAGCTGGCCACCCGGCCAAACTGAGAAATCGGGGGAGAAGGGCCTTGGTCAGGGAGGTGACCAAGAACCCGATGGTCACTCTGACAGAGCTCCAGAGTTCCTCTGTGGAGATGGGAGAACCTTCCAGAAGGACAACCATCTCTGCAGCACACCACCAATCAGGCCTTTATGGTAGAGTGGTCAGACAGAAGGCACTCCTCAGTAAAAGGCACATTACAGCCCGCTTGGAGTTTGCCAAAAGGCACCTAAAGGACTCAGACCATGAGAAACAAGATTCTCTGGTCTTTTTTTAAACATTTTTAGTCTTTTAGCAGACACTCTTATCCAGAGTGACTTACAGTTAGTGAGTGCATACATTTTCATACTGGCCCCCCGTGGGAAACGAACCCACAACCCTGGCGTTGCAAGCGCCACGCTCTACCAACTGAGCTACAGGAAACCAAGACAGCAGACTCACCTTCATGTATTTTCTGAAGACTCCCATAATATCCTCATTGAAGCTGGGCTGTAGAACCGTTCGCAAGAGGTCCATGGATATAACAGGGTCTGTGTAGCTAGACGCACAATGAAAGTGTCAGCTATAATCACACCTTTCGGATAATCTGTCTGGAAAGTCACTCACAAAACACATCGTTATCAGAGTTTCTGCTCTATACTGAAAATGCTCTATGTTGAAAACTTGACAGCTGACATGCACAATATTTGGTATTGTATTAACCTCCACGGGATCGGTGTCCCGTATACGGGGTCCTGAGCTACAGGCAGTTAGATTTGGCTTTTTAGGCGAAAATTGAAAAAAAGGATCCGATCCTTAAGAGGCTAAAGAGATTCTCCTGTACTTTTGTATACTTTTCTGCCAGTATTTCTAAAAGTAGCACTCATGAGCCAAAAGTGGTCCCCAAAAAGTGTGTACTAGGTCACATTATGTGCACCACATCATTGCTCTCTCTCACTCTGCCGTTGGTGCATCTTGCTAGCTGTCACTCATATGGCGAGGGGCTGATCGCTCATTGGTTGAAATTGAATCGCTAGGAGTCTGGCCGACATGGGGGGGAAATGCCGCAGCACATCTACCAGAAAAACAGTCGCTTCAAACTTGGCCTTTCGTGGCTAATTGAGGTAAGACAGCAATTCTGCTCATAGATTATGCATGTATTAACTACACATTCACACATCTGGCCCAAAGCAGGAGGTAAACAAAAAAAAACGAAGTAATTGCCAAAGTTACAGAGCATGTCTTTAAAAGCAAACTAATTAACAAAATACTCAAGTGTTTTTTTTGTGTACTACCCCTTTAACAGTCAGTCAACTTACTTCATGGTCATCTGTGAGCGTCTGCCCCGCCGGCAGAGCTGTCTGTGTTTTATCATGATGTTCCATGGATTCTGGAAGAAGAGGCCAAAGGATGCAGAGTCAATGAGTCACTGCATGCCAGCTGAGTCATCATCCCTTTCCCATCACATGAATTAGGCTATGTGTTGACAACTACTTTTCCGATTTTTACACATTCCCCTATGTTAAGTGACATTTGAAATGTTGGGTAGATTACATTTGAATGACAACTATAACTTGCTAAATTTATCAACTAGCTGATAGATTAAACGACAATCACGATCGAGCAACCTCATCGAATCCCTTTCCACGCACGATCGCAATGAGTTCGAGCGGTCAATCTAATAAATGTCACATTGTTTCTCGTAACATAGCTAGGTAACTGCCTAGGAATCACACTTCGTAATGGTAATAATTTAGCAATTGTAATGCAAGCTCACCATAGTTTGAATGGGCGGCTGTTCAACAGCATCTTGTTGAAGCCAGTCCCTCCGTCCCTCACCTCGATGGGCACCCATTTGGCAACAGCCCTTTTGGTATCTGGCTGGAGTGTGATGATTGATCCTCGAGGTCGGTAAAAGCTTGAAACTATTTTTGATCCCCTTTGACGATGTTGTTACAGAAGTGTACAATGCTCAAATTGGGATTACGTCTTCTGTCTGATGCTTTTTATTTCAACAACAAAACAGGCTAAAACTATCCAAATGCTTATTTAAATACGCGCTGGCAAATTACTTGCTGAATAATTTTTTACTGAATATTCTAGCATTCAAAAGCAACCAGTCTCCTCTTCTCGAACCACACTTTCTTTGTTTGACAGAGCCAGGATGTTTTTCTAGAAACCAAAAGCTAACTCTTTACCGCCATCTACTGCACCGGAAGTACAAACATGTATTTAGCGCACGCGTAAAAGCTACGTAGGCGTGTCCGTGCAAAGAAGGCTTTGAACCATTGCAGCCGCCATATTTGTAGGGGCTTTCAGAAGCAACTAATGACGAGCAGAGTTTGGAATATACTGACTATTGTTCTTTATCACCTGTTTTATTTGGCTCTTAACATTTAGGTTGTAGTGACTAGCATTGCAGTATACATTTTTCTTTCACTAAAGTAATATGTAATAATGCAACAACTATGGCAAAATGTACAGGTATGGAATATTTTCCAAGAGATGGCTCTGGGGAACCTTTAGCGGGTTCAAAGCACAAAACATGGGATGTCAGCAGACCAGTCAGCATCTTGAAGAGAGCCTAAAAAGTACAGCTACGGTATGGTAGTTTATTAAAAATGCAAATAACATACATGGTTTGACACATTTTACTGGGAGCAAATGTGATTCAGCGCATCTGTATGCTGGTTCCAATGGAGAAACATTGATAATCTACTCAGAGAGAAGACTAGGAAGATTCATGAATGAATTCAGCACAGACAGTATTTACATTCTCCTGATTCTTGCCCATAGGAATCACATTGAGAAAAACATTCATGGTATTACAAATGATCTACAGACAATAAATTACCATAAGGGTAAACAGGGATAAATACATGTATTCATACTCATACTTTATGTAAAAAGTCTATGAACTGATTTAAGAATAAACATTTTTCTTATGATTTAAGTGTCAAAAGTGTCATGCAAAATAAATTCCAAACATAAAATCTGCTCTTACTAGAACAAAACAAACAAAAAAATGTATAAAAATAAACTCAAGGAGTAATTTTGCTGGTTACACCTTTGCCATTACTGATGCAATCATACACAAACCTACTTTTACATAGAAGATAGATTTTTTTTCTTTTAATAACACTTTGGTTTAGATTAAAACAATTTCTATGTAATAAACTGTATAATACATAAACAGATATCTTAAAAAATTATGTTAAATGAACTCAAATTAAAAAATTAAAATAAAATAAAAACATGGAGAAACAGACAATACACTTATTTTTGTTTTTTCCATCAGAGCTCAATACAATTGTGTAACAGAGAAAAATAACACACTTCATACCAATTTTCTGTACAATATCTACAATTTGTTTTGCTGGTGACAGAAACATACTAGGTTCAGGGTATGCGACTGGTGCTCAATGCTCAAATGACAAAGAACGAATTGCTAGAGTTTGTATCCAGGTTCTGGGGCGCGATGCCAGACTTACTGTACTACGTATTATGTTCAAAGAGAAAGATGACCATCATATATTTGCAACAGCATAAACAGAACCTTGTCTTATCCTACAGCCTTATGCCTGCAGTCATTGTAGTTCTCTATAAAAACCTCACTACTAAGTATATACAAATGGGGCAAAGGCAAGTGATGCTATCTAGAAGAAACTGTCTAAGCTCATTGTACAAAGCATTCGGGCTATAGATGAGACCATATGCTGAGATGACATAGTAGTCAGTGTCTGATGATCATAGTTTACAAAGACAGAGAATTTGTCATACGATGGAGGAATTGTACAATAACATTTGTCTTTCATCTTATTTTTTTTATACATTAATTCTCTCCGCTCGATGACTGAGGCCGAGGTGAGGCACTTGGGCTGCGTCCGAAAGGGCACCCTATTCCCTTTATAGGGTACTTTTTTTACCAGAACCCTATGGGCCCTGGACAAAATGAGGGCACTACAGAGGGTATAGAGTGTCATGTCGGACGCAAGCCATCATGATCTTCTGTTTTGCCTTTTCAATTTTACATTCATTGTGCTGCCCAGTGATGCGTTCTAATCTCATACTGGTGTAAACATATACAAAAAATACAATTGCGATTGGAAGGATTAAAAACAACGTAACTATTCTATGTTTCTATGTCATACCACCCACTACAATGTGAAAACAACGCAACCAAGGTTGAACACAATCAATCACTGAATTACCCCCCCCCAAAAAATCTATGTTTAAAGAGGGTATAATTTACATCAGATTTATTTTCATTTAGTGCTTTTCCTTATTTCAAAGAGGTTGATAGGGTTATATGCGAAGGGACGCATTTTGCTCAACAAGCCAGTTCAACTCATTTCGTAGTTTTGGACTTTGGACTTACATTTAGCGCAGGAGGAAAATAAGAATAGTTCTGCTGTTGTTCGAGCCAATGGTTTACAACATACTGCTATTGTAAGATGTATTAAAGGCCTGTATTTAATACATCTTTTGTAAGATGTATTAAAGGCCTGTATTTTGCATGTATTGATTTTTAAAAAATCTAAAATCCTTACTAACGGTTAACAGTTTGACGAGCTTTCTTCAACTGCAGATATGGAAACAGTGCATGGACTTGGTCAATATGGAAGTACTACTCTGTGGTATTTCTGACCTGTTTAACAGTAGTCCACAATGCAATGCAGCACTACAAAGCCGTGAATCGCTCTTGTTCAGTACTTACTGATGGCTGTCGTATGTACAAGGGTTGCCTCTAAACTGTTTGTCGGCTTAAGGGGATTAGAAACATTACTGCCTTATTACCCAACAACACATCTCCATCCTGTACCTATTAAGGATTATAAGGGATTTGGACAAACATAACAATAAAACCTAAGTCTTTCAAAATACAAATTTTTCAATTCCACACAACAAAACTGACAGCCAAGCCCCGCTGCTTGGGAGCAGGTCACTATTTGTGCGTTCCAAATAGCAGCCTACTCCCAGGGTGCCATTTGGGACGCACAGTACTTCAAAAGGCCAATGAACAAGGACTAGAATTACCCGATAATTACTGACGACGACAGCACCAATAGAAAAAAGGAATCCTAGTAAACCACAACCACTAGCTACATTGATAAAAAGCAACGAGCGCTACTACAGTAAATAACGACCAGAATCATAAAAAAACCTAGTAGAACTAATATTAAATAGTCAAGAAAGTAAACCGATTTTAAGGGAGGAGGCCCTCCTTCGTAGGCCAACCTAGCAGTTGAGGATCAAATCCTCACCCCCCACTCTCTCAGCACCATTTGTAGTCTTCACCCCCCACCACCACCACCTCCAAAACGCTCCCTATCCTCACCTATGTCCCCTCCCCTGCTTTTAAACGCTGGCTGTCTCGGGAGGTGGTGTAGTCTTTTCCACAGGACTACTACTACTGCTGTTGTTGTCCTGGCTAGCGGGTGATGTGTCTAAACTGGCTGATCGCTCGGGTGCCGTCTTGGCGGCAATAGAGTCTTTGTCCCCCGACCCCCCTGCGCTGGCCGGGGAGGGCGTAGTGGGAGCGGAGGAGGGGCCTGGGGAGCCCAAGGCTCGCCTGCAAACCTGATAGGCTGCCAGCAACTCCTGGACACGCTCCGGCGTGGGCTCCCACTTGGCAAAGCCGGCAGCATTCTGCAGGAAGATGACCACCGTGCCATGGACGGCCTTGTAGTACATCTCTTCCCTGAGAGAGAGAGAGAGAGAGAGAGAGAGAGAGAGAGCGAGCGAGATACATTTAAACTCCCTTCATACACATTAAAATGCAACTACGCTTGTGTCCTATTTAGGGTGCATCTGGGAGCGTAATTTCCCAAAAAATACAGCAATGAGCACTTGGGCAGTCAAGTGAAAACACGAAGCACCTTACACTCGTTGGTCCTTTATGTCAAATATTGTAGGCTATAGCTTGTAAAATAAACAAATGTGACTCTGGGTGACTAAATAAGACTGTTTCAAGCATTTAGGACCATCAAGAAATTAAGTCTGCTTCCTGTTTTTTTTCCCATGCCATGAGTATCACGATAATGGTATTGTGACAACCCTAGTCAGAACAATGGACTCTGCGGTGTTGGACACACTCACTTCTTGCAGATGTGCTGCGAGCCGCTGCGGTACTCGTGCTCGAAGGCGGGCACCGACATCTGGTGGCGGCGGAAGGCGCTGGTCTCCATGCGGTGGAGGGCCGGGGTCAGCGGGTCTCGCCACTCCGGGACGAAGATGATAAAGGACAGGGGCTCGCTGGACTTCTCCAGAAGTTTCTAAGAGGACACAGTACATTGTTCAATACAAACTCTCCCACGAATTCAAAAGTGAACAGTTCAGTTAAAAGTTAAGCTGGAGTTAAATGGTGCCAATTTTCCCCCAATCATGTAGGATTGAGGCCTGCGGATTTTCTCCTAATACATCTACACAGCACGTGGTATATGGACTCATACCACTTTCGAAGTATAAACACATCGGACAGACTTTGAATGAGGGGTGAACTGTCACTCTAAATGCGTTTTAACTAGCGATGAGGAAATGACTAAGGAGGAGCACCTCAAAGTGTGTCACCATGGCATCCATCAGCTCCTCACTGAAGGGAGGGTTGGCCTCAAAGGAGCCACTGGCTGGTGAGAAGTTCAGGAAGGGCCTGGGAGGCAAAGAGAACATTTTGGAACAGGCTCAAACTAGAGAACCATAGATAAACAAATGACTAAAAGTACACTGACCATGTCTGGGTGGTCTCGGTTTAGTTGTGATGGGTTAGACCAGTGTTTCTCAACCTGTTTCTTACATTGAAACTAGCATTGTAAAATTGACAAGAGTCCATGGACCGGAGGTTGAGAAACACTGTGGTAGACAACATATAATGATGCATCTTTTTTTGAATGAGAAGCAAACTTTTTTTTAGTTTTTTGTGAGTCTCCCAGAACCTAAACCTACCCCCTGGATCCGAAAAAGCCATCGGTGTCGGGGAAGGCAGAGCAGAACTGCTTGAAGTAGGAGTTGAGCGGCGAGGCAAAACACTCAAAGGTCACCCCAAACTGCTTGTTGAGGGCCTCAAAGACCGGCACGGGGAGAGCCCCCTGTAAGCCCGTCCCCTCATTCACCCCGGCGCCAAACATCACCTGCATGACAAATAGTGACAGCAGCACAATAAAGGATGACATCAGCACAACAAATGTCAAGACGTAGCCATACAGAAGAAATGGCGAGAAAGAGTAACGGGACAGTGGTCATCATCACGAAATGGAGGGAAAGTGGACTATAAGAACATCGCCTCCCAACAGATGGTTTCATACTTAGGCAGTGAAGACAGAGGACGAGATTTATTTATTTTATAGATAGAGCAGTGAGTCAAAAAGTCAGGGGCAGAAGGAAGGGGTGAGAGAGGTGAAGGAAGGGGTGAGAGAGGTGAAGGAAGGGGTGAGAGAGGTGAAGGAAGGGGTGAGAGAGGTAAAGGAAGGGGTGAGAGAGGTAAAGGAAGGGGTGAGAGAGGTAAAGGAAGGGGAATCAACAGCAGGGGTCTAATTTACCTGGTATCTCTTGATAAGGCACCACACTCGTGACAGGAACTTCTGGAACCTGGGATCGTCGATGCAGCTGTATCGGTACAAGAGCTCCTGAAAGAAAGCATGGTGGGGATGGAGAAGAGAGTCATTTAGCAGAGGGAAACACCATGTGCCAGAAGGCAATGCTAGTCAATTATACCCACCACACCTTTCAGGATTACATCCTGGCAGTTTCTCAAACAGCTCAAACTTGAAGAGAACAATTCATCTCTCTGGTCGTGTAGGACTTCTGATTGCATGCATTACAAACACTCAGTGGTACTGTGCAAGTATCAACGCTACTAAAAATGGTGTGTGTGTGTATATATATACTTAATAATGTGAATGTCATGCATAACCATTGCCTTATCCCCACTACAGAGAACAAAGTTTGTGTAATATAGTAATTTCATTCAGGGCCCAACCAATGACACCTCAGTGCACCTACATACACTGAGTGTACAAAACATTAGGAACACCTTCCTAATATTGAATTGCACCCCTTTTTGCCCTCAGAACAGCCTCAATTCGTTGGGGCATGGACTCTACAAGGTGTCGAAAGCGTTCCACAGGGATGCTGGCCCATGTTGACTCCAATGCTTCCCACAGTTGTGTCAAGTTGGCTGGATGTCCTTTAGGGTGGTGGACCATTCTTGATACACACAGGAAACTGTTGAGTATGAAAAACCCAACAGCATTGCAGTTCGACACAAACCGGTGCGCCTGGCATCTATACCATAACCCGTTCAAAGGCAGTTAAATCTTTTGACTTGCCCATTCACAATCCATGTCTCAATTGTCTCAAGGCTTAAAATCCTTCTTTAAACTTGTCTCCTCCCCTTCATCTACACTGATTGAAGTGGATTCAATAAGGGATCATAGATTTCACCTGGATCCACCTGGTCAGTCTGTCAAGGAATGAGCAGGTATTCCTAATGTTTTGTACACTCAGTGTATATTTGTACTTTTAATAATATACTATACAAGATATTATTCACCAGCTTGGCGAAGTAGCTGCGGTTGACCTTGACCATCTCTCCCTTGTAGCGCAGGCAGGCGATGTCGTTCTCAAAGTGCAGCTCCACGCGTGGCTGAGCCGGCGAGGGCAGGGCCAGCCGGACGGGGTAGCAGTACACCAGCCTGTCCTGCACCTCGGCTGCCTCTGGGTCTGGGAGGGATAACAGTAGAACAAAAGAGGAAGTTAGTATGTAAGAAAAACCACAACACAACCAGTCCACCATGGATATTGAACGGCTTAAATTCAGAGTAAAACCACAATATCAACGACAGAATTTGGGGATTTTCAAGTTGCATAACGATTAGAAAGGACATCTCCATTCAGAGGCAATCCATTTCTATGGTTGTGCACCAATGTAATAAATATGGTCAATGTGGTCCTGTATGGTTCAGAGTCCGAGGCGATTTAGAACGTCTCACCCGACACGTTGCAGTCCTTCAGCAGCGCCTGGTGGGTTTGGTGAATGCGTCGCACGTACTCTGCTGATATGTGGTAGATCTTCGTACAGATCCCCTCCACAGAGTCTTTGGCCACTGCCGCTACGTGGGGACCACACTGTTTCCGCAAGTGATCCAGACGATCCTGAGAGGGGGGGGGGGGAAATTGTTTTGGGATCCTTTTTTTTAACATATACATGTCAGTGTACATTCCATTGAGGTGAATTTATACAGCTATTGATTTTTGTTGTTGTTGGCACATATACATACAGTACACCACACTTCTAAACCACAAACACACACACTCTACTCCTTGAATATACACACACACCATGTAGTCCTCTTTACTGGCCGAGTGGTCTCTCCGTAGCCAGTTCATGGTGTCCTCCGCATTCCATTTCACAACCTTTCGGCTGTCTGGTGTGGCGTTTCTACCAGGACATAAGAGACACCGGTCATTCTCCAGCCAAGACAAAGTATTTCAAACCAAAGCGCCGTTCAACTAGCCCAATCAAGCTCCCATACAAATGCTTTCTTTTCTTTCCAGTCACACAGTTGGGGAAAGAGAATGGACTGCTTTTGGTTTAGCATCCGAGTGCAAACCCGGAAACATGGCGGATTACTGAGACAATGTTTTGCTTTTTATGTTACGATCTGGACCTTGCCGTCAAAGCGGTGGTGTTAAAAAAATGCTGTGCCGTCGCTTGAGTCATAGAACTTACTGTATATATAGAATATATTCTAAATTGTCAAGGGGATTTACTGTAACGGTGTGCCAGAAGCTATCAGTAGCTGGAATTCTTTGAGAGCTTCTCTGACTTCATACTTTGAGCGATTTCAAAGAATATCAGGCCATATAAAAATATAATATGGCCAATTAACTCTAGTGTGCCAGAAACACCTACCTCGAGTCAATCATTTTCTTGGCAGCTTCGGCATATTTGAATAAGAGCTTTCGGGCCTCCTCTTTGTACTTGATGCGGGACAACCTGGTGTAAGAAATGACAAAACAGTGGTCAATAAAACAAATCGTTGAGAGGAGCCGCTATTGTCCAAATTAACCATAAAACGGGATGAATTGTTAAGACAACATTTCAGTGTGTTGACATTTCACATACTAATAAAATGCATCAGACAATAGTGATGCAAAACATTTAATTAATTAAATCGATACAGTTACATATCGGGATATAATTTTTGATGATATATCGTATCATTTTTGACAATATCGCAATATTATTTCTGCATTAGTTGGCTGTACCAGCACCAAAACTCAGTATTTTTCCTTCATAGTTTGTTCTCCATCTTATTTTTAAATAGGGAGCCAATTTGTTTTCAGCACTTTTATTTCCATGACTGATCAAAACTTGTTTTCTCATGGCTCTCTTGGCCCTCTGCAGCAGACATATGGTGAGCAATATGTTCGGAACATCGAATCGCAAAAAAAGTTTAGTAACGTATCGCAATAAATATCGTATCGCCACCAAAGTATTGTGATAATATATACATTTTAGTCATTTAGCAGACGCTCTTATCCAGAGCGACTTACAGGAGCAATTAGGGTTAAGTGCCTTGCTCAAGGGCACATCAGCAGATTTTTCACCTAGTCGCCTCAGGCATTAGAACCAGCGACCTTTCGGTTACTGGCACAACGCTCTTAACCACTAAGCTACCTGCCGCCCCGGATAATATCTTATTGTGAAGTCCCTGGCAAATAACATTTGATTTGAATTCCCAGCTCTATCAGACAACATAATTCACAACGAAGAACTGAACGGAATCTAGCCACACCAACCATAGTGAATCAAGTCCATCCCAGGGTAGACTAGAATTGGTATCTAGAGATTCGACCTTGGTTCAAATAGTACATTTGAAATATTTTGAATACTTTGAGCGTTTGATTGAGCCTGCCTGGAGTGTCTGACGGGTGGGGTTTGCAGTTGTGGGACTACTGTGGTCCTCTGTAGCTCAGCTGGTAGAGCACGGCGCTTGTAACGCCAAGGTAGTGGGTTCGATCCCCGGGACCACCCATACACAAAAATGTATGCACGCATGACTGTAAGTCGCTTTGGATAAAAGCGTCTGCTAAATGGCATATTATTGAGGGCCTTCCTCTGACATAAATGGTGTCAGAGGAAGGCCCTCAAAATTGTCAAAGACTCCAGCCACCCTAGTCATAGACTGTTCTCTCTGCTACCGCACGGCAAGCGGTACCGGAGTGCCAAGTCTAGGTCCAAAAGACTTCTCAACAGCTTCTACCCCCAAGCCATAAGACTCCTGAACAGCTAATCATGGCTACCCGGACTATTTGCACTGCCCCCCCACCCCATCCTTTTTACGCTGCTGCTACTCTGTTAAGTATTTATGCATAGTCACTTTAACTCTACCCACATGTACATATTACCTCAACTACCTCAACTAGCCGGTGCCCCCGCACATTGACTCTGCAACGGTACCCCCCTGTATATATAGCCTCCCTACTGTCACTTTATTTTACTGTATACATAGCCTCCCTACTGTCACTTTATTTTACTTCTGCTCTTTTTTTCTCAACACTTTTTTTGTTGTTGTTTTATTCTTACTTTTTTTGTTTAAAATAAATGCACTGTTGGTTAAGGGCTGTAAGTAAGCATTTCACTGTAATGTCTGCACCTGTTGTATTCGGCGCATGTGACCAATAAAATTTGATTTGATTTGATATTATTATTATTATTATTTATTCCATTGGTTCCTTTGCACCAGGCATGATCAATCAAGCACAGATTTAACCCTAGGACGGGTACAGATTATCTTTCCCAGTGACCTGATGGGGATGTCGTTCATGACCTCTCTGAACATGGACGGGGAGATGATGGGGTCACACTCGCTGGGCAATAGGGGGTCGGGCCCTTTGTCCAGCACCTTGCGCTCCAGCAGCCAGCGGTTGAAGGACTCCCGTGGGGGCTCAATACCTATTAGAGGGGGAAAGATCATTGATCATCAAGGTCAGCCGAGAATAGGAACCCCTGGGTTGTGTTCACTAGGGCCTGCATTAGGGAAAACATTTTAATCCATTTCATAACGCTAAATGAGAATTTCAACACCTGGGGCCGGTTGCACCAGTTGGGCGTAAAAAAAGTTGTTCTTAAATGCTAGGTCGGGCGTAGCCACGTCTGACTTCGGGATCAGAGTTATCATGAAAGAAGATAGTCCCAATTTAACACCCTACGCCTGCTCCCTACTAGGTATAAAATATATGCCCAGGTGTAGCTCAGAGAAGGGCATCGCCCAGGTGGTGCAACAAGTAAAAATGTTAGGTCCAGCCTGCGCATTTTACGTCGGACGTAGAGTTACCGGCCCCTGGGTTGTGTTCACTAGGGCATGCATTAGGGATTTAAAAAAAATATCCATTTCACAATGGAGAATGAGCGTTGCTTAGCGGAAAACTCCAGCTAGTCCCTTGCCGTTTTAGTCTGTGCTCTTCCGTTCGGTGCCTAATGAACATGACCCTGGGCTAGAGTGAAAACCTGCTCACCCTGTTGCAGTCCACACTGGCGTAGAAAATATTGAGCAGTGACAGTCAGCGCTGTTTTCAGACAGACACTTAAAGCTCATCTAGAAAGCAAACGTCTAGCTGCCTAATAGTGCCGTTTGACTTGACACAATGGCAGTTGCATGGGTAACGTACCTTCTCGTTGGTAGCAGAGCTCGTGGTAGTGCTGCCGTAGCTTGGTGGTGAGCTGGGCGCGTTGGAGCTCCATCTCCGGGTGGGGAGGTAGATGGTTGGCGGGGGCTCGCTCTCTGATCACTGCGTTCGTCTGAATGTCCAGGTCCCAGTATATTCTACCACAGGATCGAGAGAACTGGTTATTTACCATACTTGCCATTTCAACTTGACAGAACTGTATTATCAGCTGCGGTGCTACATTACATCCAAAACAAGACTAAAAGGAGACCCGCCTGCCCTGTATATTGCAGAGATCACACTGTAGTGAACTGTGGGTTCACTAAAGGCTATACAAATTAGGGATGTGCATCTTTCCCTTTCAAGACGATTCAATACGTATCTAGACACATGGGCTCCGATACAGTAATGATACGTTTTAGTTTGAAGCGATTAGATTTGATTAGAGAACGAATCAGTGCGATTCGGTTTGATGCACTAACATTTGTTGCATTAACACATTCATTTTCTAAATTAAAATCTGCTGCTGATGGAGCTCATTAGCTGGGCCTCTCTGAGCTGACCTTCTATCTGAGCTGACCTCTATCTGAGCTGACCTCTATCTGAGCTGACCTCTATCTGAGCTGACCTCTATCTGAGCTGACCTCTATCTGAGCTGACCTCTATCTGAGCTGACCTCTATCTGAGCTGACCTCTATCTGAGCTGACTGTGTGTGAATGATGTATGTCTATAGTGTATACTATATAGGCACCTGATCTGAGCCATAAGGGAGACTAGGCAACTACCACTATCAGATTAGGGGGGGCAATGTAGCCTGTTTTTTTGTTTACATTTTACATTTTAGTCATTTAGCAGACGCTCTTATCCAGAGCGACTTACAGGAGCAATTAGGGTTAAGTGCCTTGCTCAAGGGCACATTTACGTCATTTAGCAGACGCTCTTATCCAGAGCGACTCACAAATTGGTGCATTCACCCTATAGCCAGTGGGATAACCACTTTACAATTTGGGGGGGGGGGGGGGGGGGGGGGGTAGAAGGATTACTTTATCCTATCCCAGGTATTCCTTAAAGAGGTGGGGTTTCAAATGTTTCAAATGTTTCCACTCTTTGGTTCTGAAATCACCATCACCCACTAATTAACTTGTCAGATTAAGTGTTAGAGCTAGTAATGTATCAATATTTATAATTTACAAATCAGCTACGACATAGCCAATGAATATATAGCATAACTTTGGTTTTCACCCCATCTCAAAATCGAATGGTTTTGACCGTTTAGAAGTTTAGTGAGCATCTTTTCTCCTCCCGCTTTGGCCATGCAGGGCGCCTCGCAAAAGTGATTCCTCGTTATGAAATTATCAACTTTACCCTGTATATCAAAACATCACACTGATTGTTTAAGCAAAACTATTGCTGATAGTGAACCTGAACAATCAAAAAATCCATTGTCTCCGGTAGCTTACTTTTATTCTGGTAAAACGCAATTTTCAACTGCGCATAGATAATAGCCTAGCAGATTACATCAGTTGTCACTCAACTAATGAAGCCTAATATCGAACAAGCCATTTTAGCATTTGAATGCTTAAGGTGCCGCGCAGATGTGCAAGATCAGGAACAGGCCACCCACCATGTGTTGGTCAGCATGCGAAGCTGGGCACAGTGCGCAGTTTGATTAGGCTACTGATATTCCCTAGGGTTGTTCGGCATGCAAAATGACTTGTAGCTCAACGACTGTCAACACAGTTACATGCTTAGTTCAACACTGAAGGAGAGGACGCATCAGTTGTCACAAAATATTAGGTATTTTCGAAAGGTAGAAAGAAAGTAATATGAGCAAAACATTTGAGTGAATCAGTGGTTTGTGACATTTGAATCAATTTTCTGACCAATTCATGCTACATTTGGATCGGTTTTGGGGTCCTCGGACCGATGTAGTAGTATCTTAAACATCTGAATCTGGACCAATGCATATCGGTGAATAGTTACATCCCTAATTCAAATATTTACAGATATGAGCAGATCAGCATATTATGTTACAGCAGGACCCCCATTGCAACGCGTTTCGACCAATCAGGTCTTCCTCAGGCAGCGTCCATGAGATGTCTACATTTCAATTCCAGCGATTGTGAAATGTGGCTGTACTCACACGGTGGGACGGTATGGGGCCGGTGCGGGCATTGAGTGCTGCCCTGGCTTGTCCTCTGTGCCTGTGGTAGAGTTCCATGGCTTAGCCCCAGGGGTAATGGGTGAGATGGGAACTGTGGGGGTGGTTGGGGTGGTTGGGGTTACAGGTATACCAACCTCAATCTGTCAACGACACAGTCACATATCGGATTAGACTGACAATTAAGACAGTGGAAATATTCAAATAATAAATGTATGAAACAATCTACAGAGACAAGGGGCACACCATATGATTCCAGTAAAACATGACTTTCTTCATGTCAGGCAAGACAGCACTGCGTAGTCTAACAGATAAGCTCGAAAGTGAATCACTTTGGTAAAGAAGCGTGAAAATTGTCTCGCTTGTATAATTTTGTGGAATTGAAGTTGTAAGAAACGTGTTCTGCTCAATGACTCTTGAAAAAGAAAAGGAAAGCCTCACACTCTAGGAGCTCAGATGCAATAATTTAATATCCTAATAACCAACGTTTCGACAGACAAGCTGTCTTCATCAGGGTATAATCATTTTCAAGTGTTTTACTCCGTTAGCCAGCACCTCGCCTAAATAGGTGTGCGTTTCTTTCGCCTCTATATTTATCTGCTCAATGACTCACCTTGGGCCTCTTGAAGCTGTTTGGACCCCCCTGGGCGGCCTCCTCTGACAGGCGTCTCTTGCGCTGCCCGTTGCCCACGCCGGCGTCGCCTGTCCCCTCGGCTGGGGCAGCATTCAAACCCAGCGGGTCAGACTAAGAAAGACAGGAACAAATATACCAGACGCCGCGTTAGGAGCAGAACTGGAAAACAAGACAAGTGATGTTGATCAAAATAAAAAGGAGGTTCAGCCAAGCTCCATCAAGAGACAGAAAAGAGAACCTGAGGTACTTGTAACAGAACTTAGGATAATTTCCCCCTCTGTCCCAAATTAAGCAGCTATACCCATTTTTCACTCACAATGACATCGTGCTGCCCCAGGACTGGCATCTCCCACAGCGACTGATTGGTGAAGCGGTTGAACCAGTAGGGCCGATTCTCCCGCTTGCTCCAGCATTTCGACCAGCCTGCCTGGACGAGCTCGTCTGCACAAACAAGAAAGGTGTCAGAAATGTCAAATCTATCTCCATTCAGTTGCATGTCGTCATAGACAGAGCCAGCAATCTTTCCTTCATCAACACTAATTCATACCCTACATCTATACGCATGGAAGAACTACATCTAGCTACGCAAAATGGCGTTGCGTAGCAAAACTATGGACGTTTGCAGCCCATTGATAACTTGATGCAAGAACTTAGGATCCCCATTTTGGGTAGCTTTCTTGCGTTACCTACGTAGGTTTTTAAATAATTGTATGAATGCTTGGTAAGCAGAGCTGTTAAGTGGAAAGCTGAGTTATGCCATATATCTACTGCTTGTTGTCATATCACCAGGACTATTTTCAGTGCTGGACTTGGGCAGGAGCTCAGCGGAGCTGAGTACCGGCACCTCAAATGTTCTACTGCTTAGCTCCTGTTCCTCTTATAGAATATTAGCTCAAAAGTATTGTGGAGCTCCTGCACCTACATGTAAACAACACTGGCACCCAAAATGAGTACAGGCACCTATTTTAGTCCAAGTCAAGCACTGGCTATCTTACCTGGCAACTCTGGCATTGGTTTGCTGGTTGAAGGTGAAACGGGAGACCCCTGTGTGGCAGAGCCTGTGGGAGACATCACCATAGCGGTGTCCCCCTTCACTGTTGTGTGATTCTCACTTGTCATCTCTCCTCATCTGTCCTGTCCTGGAATTAAATGGTGGCAAATTAGTAAAGGGGTATTCAGTTCACTTTGCCTGGTAAAGTATATACTGTGTGTAAGCTACTTTTTTTAATGACAAGAGAACAGAACACTAACTAATTAGTATAATTTTTATATGATCAAATGTAAACATGTTCCACAATCGCCAAGGTAACCAAGTGGTGATTTGAAATGCTTTCCGAAATATGAAAATCTTATCAAGCAAGTCTTGATCCTGCTGACATGTTAAGACCCAGACCCTAATAGACATTTCTGCAGTTACAGTCTGGTGTGAATGGTAGCCTACTACTACTCATTAATTCCCATTCATCCCAGACCCCTAGCGAGCGCGCTAACTGGCAAAAATAACAGTTGCTCGCGCGACATGGTTGAACATTTAACAGTGACACATTAATGAGTGCATGATTAGCCAGACTACTGTTTAGTCTACATTAGCGAGCTTGATTGTGTTGTACTTGCACAATGTGTTATTGCCAACATAGTGCAGACAAGATACCATAATATCTGGCTAGATAGTCAAGTCCCTACGAACGAGCAGAGTGAAACCAGCGGTGGTGAACATTATATTAGCTAGCAAACACGAATGTGTTATGTATGGGACATGTAGCTAGCGATACCCTATGCGTTCTAGCTACGTAGCTAGCTAGTGGTTAATGATTTATTTTTATGTGCTTTTGATTTAGATAGAACATTCCAAATTGACATCTTGGAGATGCGTTTTCTATCTTTGTCGTTGATTACACAAATTAGCTAAAGAAGGGCACGCATGCGCCTGCTACACCGCCCACCCCAGTTCGAGCCGCCCGAAAACAAACACGAAGGAGGGGAAAACGTCGGGTAGCTGCGCTACACAACAAAAGGCAACAGCATCATCTCGGAACCTAGGCGGGGGATACGTGGAATAACATATAAAATACGGTAGGATACTGTACAAAACAGGGTTAATGAGACATAAAAATGACGAGAGTTATTAAGAGTACCCATGTATGCTGTCAAAATAGAGAACGGAGACGCAAGAGGCGTATCTGATCCCCTTTTATTTCAAACATACACAATTTTGGGCGCGCACTTGTGTTAAGACAAGATGGCGCGCGCTCTCCAGTCATAGCCACTGCACCCCTTGCAGACAATATTGTTTGTTTATTTCGTGCAATGACAATGCGTGCACATTTTGAGTGGATAATATGATACCCCGCATATTCCACCACCTGTCCATGCCCTTGCTGTAGCGCTAAAGTGATTATTCCCCTTACCTTGTAGAGGTTTGTTGAGAACCCTGTATAGGCTTTGCTCTAGTCAATCCGTACCCGCCTCCGCCTCTCCCTCCCCACCTTCTCCGCCATCTTGTATCGGGGACTCGGGCCTTGGTATTGCGCACGCGCCAGTTTAGTTGTCGTTCAAGGAAAAAGTTGTCAATGAGAAGTAGCCATATTTAGAAGGGCATTTGTAGGCAGGCATACAGAAATAGTTATTCACAACTTCGCTTGTGAAAGTAATCATGGAAAAACAAGTTTGTAAACTCGTCTGAACTGTTTAACCAGCAATAACTCCGATGGCATGTTTTGTGCAGTGCCTACTTTTCCCAATGATAGCCTCTAGCGACATGCTCAGTAGTCTATGTATTTATTCTCATATTATTATAACATTTTATTAGGCCTGTATGATATAATGTTGTTTTTACACAACACTGCACACGTCTGTTGTTTATGTATGTTGCATGTGAAGAATAATAAATGAACAACTTTCAATTCATGTTGCTGTTCTGTTTCTCTTGTTCCATTATGTGTGCACTGAATAGTAAATATTATAAAATAATATACACAGTGGTGTAAAGGACATAAGTAAAAATACTTTAAAGTACTACTTAAGTAGTTTTGGGGGGTATCTGTACTTTACTATTTATATTTTTGACTACTTTTACTTCACTACATTCCTAAAGAAAATAATGTACTTTTTACTCCATACATTTTCTTTGACACACAAAATTACTTGTTACATTTTGAATGCTTAGCAGGACAGGGAAATGGTCCAATTCACGCACTTATCAAGAGAGCATCCCTGGTCATCCCTACTGCCTCTGATCTGGCGGACTCACTAAACACACACGCTTCGTTTGTAAATGATGTCTGAGTGTTGGAGTGTGCCCCTGGCTATCCGTAAATAAATAAACTAGAAAATGGTGCCGTCTTTGACTTTTGATACTTAAGTATATTTTAGCAATTACATTTACTTTTGATACTTACGTAAATTTAAAACCATATACCTTTAGACTTTTTCTCAAGTAGTATTTTACTGGGTGACTTTCACTTTAACTTGAGTAATTTTCTATTAAGTTATCTTGACTTTTACTCAAGTATGACAATTGTGGTCCTCTGTAGCTCAGCTGGTAGAGCACGCCGCTTGTAACGCCAAGGAAGTGGGTTCGATCCCTGGGACCACCCATACACAAAAATGTATGCATGCATGACTGTAAGTCGCTTTGGATAAAAGCATCTGCTAAATGGCATATTATTGGGTACTTTTTCCACCACTGAATATACATATTTTTTGTATATATATATATTTTGTCATTTAGCAGACGCTCTTATCCAGAGCAACTTACAGGAGCAATTAGGGTTAAGTGCCTTGCTCAAGGGCACATCGACAGATTTCCACCTAGTCGGCTCGGGGATTAGAACCAGCGACCTTTCGGTTACTGGCACAACGCTCTTAACCACTAAGCTACCTGCCGCCTTACATATTGTAAAAATAGAAACACGTTTTGGTTCTTGGTAAAATAGAAGTTACCTCTGGTTCGTTCAGCCATTCCTATGGGAGAAATGAATGGGGAAAGAATGGGGTATTGGGATAAACGCTGAAAATAAGGTTAACACAGGCTAAGGAGATCTTATACGTTTTTATTTATTTATATATTACTTTTACCCCTTTTTCTCCCCAATTTCGTGGTATCCAATTGGTAGTAACAGTATTGTCTCATCGCTGCAACTTCCCTACGGACTCGGGAGAGGCGAAGGTCGAGAGCCATGCGTCCTCCGAAACACGACCCTGCTAAACCGCACTGCTTCTTCACACACTGCTCGCTTAACCCGGAAGCCAGCCGCACCAATGTGTCTAAGGAAACACCGTGCAAGTGACGAGAAGGAGTCGCTAGAGCATGATGAGACAAGGACATCCCCTAACCCGGATGACTCTAGGCCAATTGTGCGCAGCCTCATGGGTCTCCCGGTCACGGCAGGCTGTGACACAGTCTGGGATCGAACCAGAGTCTGTAGTGATATGATCTCCTAAACCTGTGATCTCCTAAACCTGTGTTTACCACAGACCTTATTTTCGGCGTTTATCCCAAAAATATTTCCATAGGCTTTGTTCAACGAACCATGGCGGCGTTAGTGCCTACAAAAAGACGCCATTACTATTTATCTCTATAGTCTAGATACATTTCAGAAGTTTCTAGCAACCAACGCTATCTGTTCCTTGCACATGATCTCAAGAAATCACTTTTTATGATAGTTACTGTCTCAGGTGTGACTGGGTTGTTTGAAATGTGTTGGCCTACAGGGTTACATATGACATAGCAAAGACGTCACTAGACATGGATTTGATCCCTGCGCGACCGAAATGAAGGCCCCCGCGCTGTGCTCTCCTGACGCCTAATAATTAACACTTATTATTATGAATTCAATGGCTTGTGGTCAGTAAACTCATGGAATATGGTGTCAATAATATTTTTAAAAAACCTACTAGCAAGTACAAAGTACAAGTGCATAACTATATCGTAATTTTCCATGAAGAAAAATTGTTGGGAAAAGTATTTATCATTTCGTTGCTATGTTTTCATAAACCATGTCCAATATTTGATTGGCAATAAAAAAAAAAAGCCTCATGTTGATGTTGGTCCCAGTACTGCTAACTAATGTGAGCTAGTCATACTGCGCGCACTGTGCAGTTCCAAAATAATCCAAACGGTGGGAGCCTAAACCACAAATTAATGTTTTGTATGAAAAAATGTTCTCGTTACATGCAATATAGCAGGATTGGGATTTTAGACTGCCATCCTTTGGATTATGTTGGAACTGCATAAACTCACATTAGCAGTAGGTTTGTATTACAACTGTGGAGTGGGGGGGACACAATTTTTGCAGATAACATGTACAAACGCAGGCACCAAACACGCTTCAAAATCATGATTTTTATCATATTTGTGGTAACAAATCACAGATTCCAAGGTCAATTAGCTACAGGACACTATTTCTAACTAATTACACAAAAACAAATACACCCCCTCCAACACCCCTGTAGTAACAACACTTCACAATTTTACACACATGTACATACCAGCATACAATCCTTTCTCCAACTAAATAGTCACAATATTTGCGAGCTATATTACACAGTACTAGGATGTTAGTCCATCCATAAAGATTAGAAAGTAAACAAAATTAAACTGTAGGTGCAAACCGGTCTATGACTTCACTCTTTCCCAAGCACGTTAGTATATCTTTGTAAATTGTCATGATGCATTCTATCTTGGGTCCTTGGGCTCCTAAGCCAGGTATGTAGACGTCTTAATGCACTGAAAGATCTCTCACAGCGGCTAACTGGGATGGTCAGCGCGGCCTGTATGATTGCCTTCAGTGATGGGAACATATCAGGGTCTAACAGTTTATACACACAGGACATGTCAGAATGGCATCTTTCTTTTTTTAGAGGTAATGTTTAGCAATAACTACTTCCTCTGGCTTGAGAGGAATATGCCATATTTGTCTTGTGTGGGCCTCCCCTCTCTCTATGTTCTCGCTCTGTCCTGTCTGCTCCCCTCTCTTCCTTGCTGTCTGATGTTCTGCTTTCCTCCTGGATCTCCTATATTATTACAGAGACGGAATAGTATCAGTGCCGTAGTAATATGGAGTATTCTGAACAGACAAACACACACATAAGCAATACATGCACTCACAAACAATATT